GGGGGGGGGGACGCGGAGAGCGAAATGAATAGAACTCCGTGTATTTGCTCGATTTACCGTGGACGTATTTACCGCTATACGCAGGTAATCGGATTGTGTGCGCCGGGAGTGAAAGAGCGCGCGTTCCTCCCTTATTGGACGTCGCGTAAACCTCCCGCGCCGTTACTATGAAGAAAAATGCAGCAACAAGGTCTCGAAACGAGTCTCCCGGATTTACTCGTCGGAGACGAAATAATGATCGTCTCCGGCTGCCGCCGATACCGATGACGACTGGATCCTTCCTTCCTTCCAAGGAAAGAAAGAATCCGTTCAATTCTTGATACTTTTACGATTCAGCAAACACAGATTATAATTGCAATATTTATAAAATAATTATAAAGCAATTCTCTCTTTTCTTCCGCAAGGTCGACTTCGCGATTCCGAATTGTATACATTATACAAGATCTCGCAAATATCTCGACAGTCTTCGATATTTCGGCTCGATTTCTGAAATTCGAAAAGATTCGCCTTATGACACGTTTTAATTGGGAGATTTCATCGGTCAACGAGCTGTCCTCCCTTTGGCAAGCTCATTTCGAGAATCCAACGCGTTTCTCCTGGAGATTGCGCGGGCACCTCTCGCGCTTTCGTGCTCGCTTCCGCGCGGCGAGCTTGCAGCGCGCGAGGGGGCTTGCACCCTCAGTCGTCGTCCGTCGTCCGTCCGCGTCCGCGCCTTCACCGCGCGCGTCGCGATGTGGTCCAGCCGAGACTCGCAAGCGACTCGTATTTCCGCCAAAATCCCGTCAACAAGCCGGAACGAGAACTGAGACTGAGAGTTTCTTCGTGCCGTCTCCTATGTTGTTTCGATTGATTATATTCAACAAATTTGTCACTTAATTGAGTAAGATGTAACGCGACGAAAAATGCGACGCGGAGTTTCTTAACTCGGGAAGATTTAGAAGATCTACTTCACGCATTATGACAGATATATAACAATAAAATCGCGGTTAGTCAATAAAAGATTAAAATTACGTTTTTATTTATTTCAACTGATTTATCTCCTGTTTGTTGAAATAAAAATTAAATTAGATAAAATGGGAAATTAAAATAGAATTTGTATGATAAAAACAAGCAGCTGCGCGTTCTGTAAAACTATCTCTAATAAAGATATTTGCGATCGATATAATATTTTTTTTTAAACACAATTAAATTCAAGATAGTTACAGTAGGATTTTGGTGCTCAATAAAATTTCAGTTGATTTTATCCTACATTTTTTCAGTACAAATTTTTTCATACAAACTGCGCGCCGTTTCTTTCGGTATCGACACGCAGTTTTTAATTAAATCAGAATAGTAATAGCACAGTATTAAATTGATAGTCAATTTAATAATATTGATGCTTACTGAAGCATCAATATTCTTCTCTCCCGCCAACGACATGCGAGAATGTAAAGAAATTTCGCTACGAAAAATATTACCTCAGCCAAGAATTTTGAATTTAAACTTCCTTACTTTCCGGGCGGGTGTCTTAAACATTTCTTTTTACAGTTAATAGCTTATAGTAGTTTGCGAGAAAAAGATATGGAAATCGCGGCTCGATCAGCGTCATCTTTTTGAACAATGACGCATTTTATCGCACTCGAGTGCCCCACCGTTTCATCGCTCATCCTGTGTCGCGCGAGATAAGAGTCGACCATGGTGGACAAATTGCACGAGTACGAGGGACTCACGGGTAGGATTCACGGTGTTCGCGAGAGTATCAGGGAACGATGGAGCGTGTGGAAAGAATGGAAAAACGGGTTGAATCTGGATCAAGGTCTGGAAGGGCTGAGACATCATTTACGGGGGCCGCCCAAATTGGAGCGCACCTTGAACGACTATTCTCACGTCTACAGGTGAAGAATTCCACGTATAGTCGGTTCCGTACTCTGAATGATATATCAGTGTATTCCCCAGAGAAAAATTCGTATACACTTTCTCATATAATTTTTCAGAATTTTATAACTTCTTGGAAAATTTATCAAATTTTAAAATACAAATTAAAACACATTTGAAAATGCTGAGAAAGTCTACATCTCATCTAAGATTCTTTACATGTAATTCCGAAATATTTCAAGATTCCATCATTTGAATTCCATAATTTGAAATCTTAATTTCGAAAAAAACTTATAAAATCCGAAGAACTTTAAGGTATTTTTTTAGAAATCGTAAATTTTTAATGTAAAAAATTCTTTAAAATATTACGAGATTGATATGAGATACTAATAAATTAGAAAATAACTACGATAAGACTCCAAGAATAAATCAAATAACAAAAACAATAAAATGCCTATGTGAGTCGCCGCAATTGTAGATGCGTGAATCAATAAAATACTTTTACAAGGAGCGATGAATGTACTTGCTCAACAGTTTGTACAAACGTTTCAACTTCAAATTTGAGTCTCTTCATTAATATCTATTGCACTGAACAGGACTCAAATTTGGAGTCGAAACGTATATACTTACTTAACAAACTGTTAAGCAATACATTCTTTGCTCCTGAAAATGTTTTATTGATTCACGCACCTATACGACGGCTCACATAGACATTTTATTCTTTGTTTTGATTTATATGAGAAATTTTTTCATCCGAATTTTTAGATCAATTTCTTTGTTCTTGCAAATTCAGAGGTGTTCCATTTTATATCTAACAATCAAATATTTGGAAATCGTAGGGTTTTATAGAAAAATTGTTTTATTAAAAAAATGTTTCAGACAAAGTTGTAGTTTCAAGGGGAACGTATTTTGGTCAAAATGTTTTTTTTCTAGATGGAAGCAAAAAGATACGGAGATCACCTCCCTTTTTTTAAAATGGAATTATGTAATTTTTTTGACATAATATGATTCCTCTAATTATTCTGTATATAAAAGTGTTAAGGTAAAGTTATCAAAAAATCAATACTTTACGCGATTATTTCATACTTTATCATGCCATGCTTCGACATAAACTATGAAATATCTCGTAAATTATTGATTTCTTGATAATTGTACCGTCATACTTTTATGCATAACAGAATATTACATGAATCATATTATGTAAAAAGAATTATATAACTTTCAAAAATTAAACTTTATATCTTTTTAGCGCCTTCACTTAGAAAAAAAAAACAACTTGATCAAAATACCTCCTCGAAACCTTACAACGTTTGTCTGAAACATTATTCTCTAAAAGCCCGAGATTTCCAAACATTTAATTGTCAAACATAAAATGGAACTTGTATGTATAGCATATATTATAATTATAAATTTAAAATAGCATTATTATATATATTACAGTTCAATGTTATGTCATATTTACATTCAATTTAATAGAAATATACATTGTAATATTAATTATATGTTAAATATATAGTATTAATTTCCTTTTCTCTATTTGTTCTTTCTAATAATCTCAGGAAGAAAACTCGCGCCGAACTGGTGAGGGTGTCGGCGGCCGTAATGGGGATCGAGTTTTCGTACGCGGCGGAGACCGCTTTCGTCTCGCCGACGCTGCTCAAGATCGGCGTCGATCACCAGCACATGACGCTAGTGTGGGCGCTTAGCCCCCTTGTGGGCTTCTTCGTGACGCCGATTCTTGGCAGCGTAAGCGACCGCTGTAGGCTCAAGTACGGCAGGAGGCGGCCCTTCATCCTCCTGTTGGCCCTCGGAGTTTTCATAGGCAAGCCGCAGGTTTTTTCGTATCTCTTTTCATTTTAATATCGGAAATGTTTTTCGCTTTTTTAAATAAATTTGCCTTACATTTGCCGTTCTTACCTGCGAGTTTTAGACTCTTCTGCGGCGAATATTTGAGCGTCAAAGGGGCGAGTTTGAACTTTTGCATTTTCGCAGGTCTCATCCTGGTGCCAAACGGTGAACACATCGGCTACGTGTTCGGCGACACGCCGATCCGCACGAACGAGACAATCCCACTCGGACATCGCACAACGGCGAAGCTGCCCGAGGAAGTGACGGCCGGGCCGGTTGGAAGGGCTTCCTCGCACTCCTGGGGTATCTTCTTCACTATTCTCGGCACGGTGCTGCTCGACTTCGACGCCGACGCCTGTCAGAGTCCGGCGAGGGCGTATCTGCTCGATGTCACTCTACCCGGTAAGTATTCAGGTGTTCTCCAAGACTCAATACATAAATCCTGTGAATCCTCTGAGAATCGATCGTTGAAATAAAATTTAATTCTTTAAAATACGAATGCAAATGAAAAAAAAAAAAAAAAAAAGAAGATGGGAGATAATTATGATTCGATTTTCAAGCGATTTTTCTATAACATCCGAAATGTTTCACAGAGGACCATGCCAAAGGTCTAAGCACGTTCACCATAATGGCAGGCTTGGGCGGCTTCATGGGCTACGGACTGGGCGGCATCAATTGGGACGCCACGTCGCTCGGTGTTATGCTGGGCGGACATCTGCACGCGACCTTCACTCTCATCACGATCATCTTCGTCATCTGCGTCATATGTACCATTACCAGCTTCAAAGAGATTCCTCTCGAGCTACTCGAGCGAGATCAGTGCCGGCAAATGGACGAGTCGAAGGTGTACTTCTGTACACATATTATTATCATTTTTAATTGTTTCTCCATCGTGTAGTAAAATCGAATATTTCTTTCGCGTCTAGACTCAGGAAGAGATTCAAGGAGCAGAGAATAAGCAAGACGAACGCGAGAAGATTGTCCCCGACGAGTCGAGAACGTACGGCGCGTTCGACGCTGAGCACGAGACCGATCTCTCGAAAACGGAAGTAAGCTCGGACATTCTTATTGTCTCGACATTTCCATCCAATGACATTTTTTTTTTATCTTAGCCGCGATTTCCTGATTTGATTGAAGTGACAAGCGTGTTTAACTGGCTATAATCTTTATAATTGAAAAACTAGGTGGAGAACACATTCTTAATTGACAGGGGAGGATTGTTAATAAACGTCCGTGTAAAATTATATCAATCCAGGAACTCACCCGCCGTTCGCTCCAGACGCAATCCTCCGATCAGTCCGAGGAGCCAGCCTCCGAGGGCAGCCACGTCAATTACGGCTTCGACGACGTCGAGAACGGAGCGGGCCGCAAGGCGACCCTGAAGGAGTACCTGCTGTCCATCGTCTACATGCCGCACAGTCTACGCCTGGTCTGCCTGACGAATCTCTTCTGCTGGATGGCGCACGTCTGCTACTCCCTGTACTTCACGGACTTCGTGGGCGAGGCGGTGTTCGGCGGGAATCCGCGGGCGCCCGCGGACACCGTGGAGCGCGAGCTCTACGAGGAGGGCGTGCGATTCGGGTGCTGGGGCATGTCCATGTATTCGCTGTCCTGCTCGTGCTACTCGCTGATCATCGAGCGGCTGATCCAGCGTTTCCGAGCGCGTAAAGTAAGGAATTCGTTACGTTTAATCGATACATCAGATATTAATAATACTAATTAATTTTAGATTAAAATCGATATTTTTGTGCGTCTTTTAATTCTTAAAATATATGCTTATGAATATATATCAGATTTATAATAACGGAAATGGTAAAAGCAATATAGACATTTTCTAGTCCGCGTTAGAATTACTTTGATATAAAATACTACTACTAACTTTGATATAAAATGCAATATTTTTCAATTTAACACTTCGAATATTTATGATATACATATATTCAAATATATCTTATACCCACACAGCATGAAATATTTTTGTGAATTATTTTTTGAAATATTTCAATTAAATATTTCGAAATATTTTGTAAACATTTGTCAAACATTTTAAATTATTACATTAAAATATTTATTTCACAAAAATATTCTAGAAATATTTCTATCGAAACATTTCAAGAAATATTTCAAGAAAACTCTGATTTCCTGGAATATATTTCAGAAATATTTCATAAAATATTTTCAAATATTTCAAATTTTGCATGAAATATTTTGGACATATTTTTGAAATATTTCATGCTGTGTGGGTACATTAAAACACTGTAGACGTTCTTTAAGCCTTTCGATTATTATCCGCCTACCGCACAGGAATTCTAGAAAGTCTTTTAATTAAATATATTTTAAATTTCAGAATTGCAATTATTTGCGGTCGAGAAAGAGTGTCTAAAAATGTCTTCGCGATATTTCATCCGTCGAAATTTTTTTAAATCCAGGTTTACATCTACGGGCTGCTGTTCTACAGCGTCGGCATGCTGCTGATGGCCCTGATGAAGCACCCGGCCGGCGTCATCATCTTCTCGTGGACCGCCGGCGTCATGTACTCCACGCTGTTCACCATGCCCTACCTACTTGTGGCGCACTACCACGCGTCCTCGACCTTCGCCCTGACGACCGCCGGCGACGCGGTGTCCGGCGGCTTCGTGCGCGGCCTGGGGACCGACGTCGCCATCGTCTCCTCCATGGTGTTCCTCGCGCAGTTCCTGCTGTCCTGCTGCCTGGGCACGATCGTCAGCCTCACCGGCACCACCGCGGCGGTGGTTTACGTCGCCAGTGTCCTGGCGATGTGCGGCGCGGTCTCGGCCACGCGGATCATGTACCTGGACCTGTGAATCTCGCTCGTCGATCGCACGGAACGTTAACCTGTTGATTGATTATGTTTCAATAATTGTCCATGAATCAACTTCGCAGAAAAAAAAACTAGAATAATTGTTACATTCGAAGATGCAAAATTTTCCGTTAGTTGCAAATAATGGCTTAGGATAATAAGCGAGCTATTAAGGAAAACAATAGATAGATTTGTAAGATAATGGCCAATTAATCGTCACTGTAGTAATTGTTAATCAGTAATTGTCAATTTAGTGATCTCATCATCCGATTATGGTTTCGTCCGTTTCGCAAAACTTTGATGTTATCGTTTTAACATATATATATATATATATATATTTTACTAGTGAAATAAATTTACCGCGATTAATGTTACAAACTGTTAAATGTTTCTGAGGTGCGTCTACTGATTGAGTATAGTCGCCTAAATATTTATTCGCTCTAAAACTGGTACATAATATCTTCATTAATAACGACAGAGGACGGATGTGTATAATTATATAATTGTATACAATGTGTGTAACGTAAACAAGTAAACGATCGATCAATATATCAAGCCCAAGTTGAACGGAGCGATCAGATGCTTCACGTGCGCAGGTTGTTGATACACTTCTCCAAGATGTCCTTCCTGATCCTCGGATAATCCGAGCTCTGCTTCAGCACCTCGTTACACGCCTCGATCGCGTCGGCGTAGATTTTCGCCTTCAGGCAGCAGTAGGCCAGCTTGTAGCCGACCGACAGCTTCGTTTTGCCGCCGCACTTCCAGGCCTGGCCGTATCTCGCCGCCGCGTCGCGATAATTCTGATCCTTTTCGGCGATGTAGCCTGAAAGTGAGGAAACCGCTGAGACCGCGACATCTTAAATCAATTTTGGATGAACAATTCGCAATAGAATTCTGCAATTTAAGATTAAAATGTGAAAGACTAAAATTTCTGCGTATTTTTAAGTGTTAATTATTATGTTTTGAGTCGTAATCGAACCCGACAGCTCGTGGGCCCGCACGCAGGTGGCGTTGTGCTGCAGCACCCGCTTCAGCAGCTCGTTCGCCAGTTCGTATTTGCTGGATTGCACGTAGATGTCCGCCAGCAGCAGCCAGCAACGCTCCAGGTACTCGGCGTCCTCGAACGTCCACACGTTCTTGCTGACGCGCTTCAGGTGATTCCGGGCGCGCGGCGTTTGCTTCAGCAGAATGTGCGCGGTGGCCATGCCGAGAGCGGGCCCCACGTGATCCCTCAGGGTATCCTGACTGGCTAGCGCGGTGCACTCCTGCAGGGCTTTCTCGATGTTGGACTTCTGCTTGGTGGCCAGCAAGAAGAAGTTGCTGAGGAGCTTGTGGGTCAGTTCTTCATGAGGGCTGCCCTTGGGATTCAATTCCTACAATAATACATATACGTTTTATTTGAATCATTAGGACAATTAAAATATTTTAATGAAAAATTTCTGATACTCCATAAGTAGATAATGAGATAAAAATTATTAGATCAAATCGATTCGTATGTAAGCATCGAGAGACGACACTGACTGAACGTACCTGGAGCAATCGGTAAGCCGTCCGCAAAGCCATCGTCCTCGAATCCTGATACTCGGCGTCGTCGTCGTTGAAGGCCTCGTTCGACAGACTGGTGTCGTCGTCCGGATCCAGGCAGATCTCAATCATATTGTAGATCGCCTGCTGGCCCCATTCCGGATCGCGTCGCGCGTAGTTGAAATTGCGCAGAGCCGAGTTCAGTTTGCCCGTGCGCCAGTCCAGCAGCCCGGCGCAGTAGTGGAAGCCGGCCTCGACGTTGCCGGCGCCCATCGCGACCTGCGCGCGTTGCAGCCACTCGTCGAGGTCGTCCATAGCACCTACGACCCGCGAATCACATCGATTCCTTGTCCAGATATCTCTAGAGCGAGGAGTTCGACAAGTCGCGCGACAAACCTGTTCTGCGCGACACTTCTATCAGCCTCGCCAGGGCGGTCCAGTAGGTGGGCTGGCGTAACAGCAACTGCCGAAAATGGAACGCCGCGGTGTCGAAATCCACCTTCCGGAACGCGAGGTCCGCCATCATCACGGACGCAGCCTCGTTGTTGGGATCGGCGTTCAGCAAGATGGAACAGTTCTGCGCGCACCGATCCAAGTTGTTCATCTGATAAATAAATATTCGTATTTACGTCAGTATGGAAAATCAAGGCTCTCGACGATCATTTAATAAACCGAAGCTTTATTTCTATGGATTGTTCCATTAATATTTCCATAAAGAAAAAAAAATTAAAATTTTAGAAAGATTATAAAATTTAATATTATTCACCTGCATGTACAGCTTCGCCAGGGAGAGCAGGGCGTTCACGTCCGTAGGCTTGTGAGCCAGCGCCTCCTTGTAATACACAATGGCTTCGTCGTAGTTGCGCAAGGTCGACGCGTAGTCAGCCATCGTCAGACAGATGTTCGCCAGCATATGTCTCTGATCCGCGACGTCCGGCGAAACGGCGAGACGTTGGATGTACCTGTGTTGATTTTCCTTGGCTTCCTTCAAGGTCGCCAACGCGCCTTTGATGTTGCCCGACTTCTCGCGCACCTTGGCGAGCAACAGCAACTCCTGTCCTCGCATCTCCAAGCTCAGAATGTCGGACTCGCCCCGCTTGTCTAAATAAAGAAGAATAGAATTAAGATGAACAGATGTAACATATCTATCTAGCTTAGTTTATTATTATGTTTGAAAATAAATAAGCAAGTAATTCGTTAATATTAGAATTATTATAAGCATTATTAAATAATTAATTTTATAAAAGTATTAATTTCATATTAATACTAATTTTATATAAAACATTAATTTGAACAGGTAAAATTACCTTGCAGCTCTTGCACCAAAGTGGCCTCCGCTTTATCATACTGTTTCATTTTCATGTACAATTTGGCCAGATCTAATTTTAGAGCACTGCAATTGTCCTGCTTCACTACATCCTTGTAATAACTGACCGCTTTCGCGTATTGATGCGCTTTGACGAGCGCTTTGCCCATCTTGTTCGCAATGTCCGCCTTGTTGATCGGATTCTGCGAAAGCGCGTGCTCGTACGCCTCTATCGCTCTCTCGGGCTCCTGTATGGACATGTAAGCGTTACCCAACATGCTGTACGTCTTCGGTCCGGGACAGTGTTCCACCAATTCTCTAAAAGATAAACAGCAATAACAGTATTCGTTCCAAGTCCTATATAAATAATATATTCAATAAGAACTAATTATTAAAAACGCGTCAAATAGATTTAAATTTAAAAAATCACATTCTTCGTACCTGAAACACTTTGCGAATGCCTGACGATCTTTCCTATAATTCAAATTGATCTCGGCCAATCTGGTGTGCGCCTGCAAGTAGTACGGCTGCCCCGGACGGACGTTCCGTAAGCACGTGACGGCGTTCTCCAGTTCTCCTATGTCCAGATATACCTCGGCGGTGCCGATGGTGATTCTTCCGAGCTCAGTGGTGCCAGCGAGATTCGTTTTCGCCTCGTCGACGAGCGCCAGTGCCTCGGCGAACCGTCTCGCCTTGCTGTACGCCGCGATCAACTCGAGATACAACGTCGCTCGGTCCGACGTGGACATGCTGGACTTTTTGTTAGCGCCGCCGGTCAATCCGGCCAGCGACATGGCCGTCTGGCAGCTCTTGGCGCAGCTCTGCAGATCGCCGGCCTGTCGTTGCACCATGCCGATGATCATATGGTAGATCGGCTCGTCCCTGATCTTGAAGTTGTAGCTCAGGCCGACCTCCAGGCTCTGCGAAGCAAGCTGGTACTTGCCCTGATACGCCAGGATCTGAGCCATCGTGAGGTGGGCCTGCGCGTTGGACGGCTCCACCGTGTCCAACAGTCTCCTGAGCAAGATCAACGCGCCCTCGTAGTCGCCGCTCTGCATCCTGGCCTTGCTGAGCAGCAATACAGCCACGCTGGAACCCGAACAGGCTTCCACTAGCCGTTCTAACAGGCGGACGCTCGGTTCCTTCTCTACTGCGCTGCCCAGCTTGAAAAAAAAAAAAAACAGGACGGAATTAAACCAAAAAAGTCGATACGATATTTCGTTTTCGATGTCATAAATCGATAATAAATAAAATAAAGAATATATTCGCTTTTATCGTCCTTCTTCAAGAAAGATGGTTACCTCGTCGCTCATTGGGGGCTTGTTCAAAGAATGCATCAGACGCTGCTTCGCAATTTCGAGACACAAATTCGGTTTAAGCTCGCTAAGGTACTCGTAGCCATAAGGAAGGCCCTCGCAGCTGTTCAACAAGACGTTCGCCGCCGCGTCCAGGTAACCGAGTGCCTTAACGCTGTTTTCCTTGGAAGTGATCCTCGCGGACATGAACAGCAGCTGCACGTTCGTCGTGTTTGGTTGTATCTCCATCATGATCTCCACCTGGAACGCGACACGCGAGATAAACTTTTGTAATATCCTCAATCACAATCACCTCAATTGACATATCTAGAGATTAATCTTTGGAAGAAAAGAGTACACATCAAAATTTTTTTCGGATATATTTATTTATTCACCTGTTGCCGCGCCTGGTCCAGATCCTCCGCGGATCCCTGCAGCAGCTGGCAGCGCGCCAGGCCCAGGAGCGCCGGGAAGGAGGACGGATCCGCGCGGATGGTGTTCTTGTACCAGCGCTCGGCGTCCTTGACGTTGCCCAGCGCGGCGTACAGGTCGCCCAGCTCCGCCATCAGCTCCGCGCTGCTCGACGACGTCGCCTGCAGCATCTTCTCGGCCGTCCGTGCGAGCTCCAGCAGAATCCCGTTGTCCTGGAACGCGATGCCGGAGAACAGTCGCAGATTCCCGATCAGCAGGGACATGTTCTTCGGCTCGGCGAGCAGCAGGTTGCGCAGGAACAGCTGCAACTGCGGCAGGCCCTCGCTCGGGTTGCCGTCCCTGCACAGAGCCACCACCGAGCTCGCCTTGATGGCATCCAGGTTGTTCGACTCGAGCGACAGCACGCGGTTCACCAGCTCCAGCACCTGCTCCCAGTCCTTCGCCGCCAGCAGGCACCTCATCTTCTCGATCAACGGCAGCGGCTGCTTGGGGTGGCGCACGATCAGGGAGTTGAGTATCATGACGGCCCCCGGACAGTCCTCGGCGCGTCGCTTCGCCTCCGCGGAGCCCAGCAACGCGCTCAGATTCCTCGGCTCCTCCTTCAGGACCGAGTCGAAGAAGCTCGCCGCCTCCGGGGCGCTCGCGCCCGATCTTCGCAGGCCGATCTCCAGCCATCCCCTGACGAGCAGCACGTTGATATTCGTGGGTTTCAATTTCCACGCCCTGTCCACGTACTCCCTCGCCCTGTCCGCTCGCCGGGAGAGGAGCAGCACGGACGCCGCCAGGCACAACGCGATGCAGGACGCCTTTCTGCGCTCGTCTCGGATCCGGTTCTCCATCTGCGTCACGGTGCTCCTCTCCACGTCGCCGTCGACCAGGGCGACGTTTTGCACGAGCAACGCCGGCAGCGTGAAATCCGCGTAGTTCACCAGGCTGGAGCTCTCCTTGATGGCCTCGTGGCTCTTGCCGACGAGGATGTACGCCAGGCAGAGCAGGAGCCTCAGTCGCTCGCTGTTCGGATAAACGTCGCGTGCCTGCCTGGCTTGGGCCAGCATGCCGTTGTAATAGTGCTGTCGGCAGTGCCACTCGATCAGAGCTACGTACTCCATTTCATCCATTATTGCCTCTGTTTTATGTCCGATACTACTGTACTTGAATTCTTTGATCTATCCTGAAATAAGAATACGTGACGATATTAAGAACAAGACAATCTTTGAAATCCTTTTAACATTCAATTACTAAAATTTCTACATTTTTCTACAGTCTTAATAATGGATATATAAGTAAAATGCAGAACGGAAAAGAAATTAAAAAATTATTTTATCAATAAAATTGTTTTATTTACTAATAATTTTGTTAAACAGGTCACTCGTTTTGACTCGTTTTCTGTCACTTGCAAATTTTACTTGTATTTTATTAACACATTCTATTTATTATTACTTATTATTATTCTATTTATTAACACATTTTATTTTACATGTATTCTATTTTGTATATTTATTTATATTATTATATACTTTTCATCATGTCATATTCTGTGTTTACCTTCACATCGTTCGATCGGCTGGGAAAAAACGTCGTGGTTCACATCGTCGCGCAGTGTGCAAGCTTTCGCCGTTGACAGGATTTTCCCGCTGGTTTTGACACATCGTGAATGCAACAATTCCTATTTATTCGCAGGACGATTCTTCGTTTACATCGTATCGATGTTAAAATAATACCGCATAACTGACGAGCGAAAGCGAGATGTATAGGTTATATTTGTTGACAACGCCGTTGCTGTGGCAACTGGTGCCGTGAAATACTGCAGTATGTGTTACCGACGATCTCAGATAACTATACTATTACCATAGGAACGCGTTTTCGTTTCACGGAAGATCCGCTGTGAGGGTGGCCGTGGGTAATACGTTCGCGTGAAAGTCACCTAATAAAACTGTCGTATATCTGCCATATTTCATGAAACAGTAACATTTAGCTACGCGTCGCTACGGTCGCGCGGATCGCACTTGACGAATCTGTCGTCTTATCTCTCAAAAAACTGTATCCGACGTCGAATTTTCCATCGAATCGACGCCGTAAGACCTGAAAATGTCGAAATTCGCCACCGGATCGCGAATTAACCGGAACGCAGCGTTCAACGTACGCGATTCGTTTCTCGCGATGAAAATTTAGACAGCTCGGCGAGGTCGCAGATATTAATCCCTGATTATCGGTTCGTGCGTGAACTACCTGGCGATGATCCCGGGCTTGCACACGTATCCTGGCATTCCCGGCTGTATTTAGAGCAGAATATCCAAAATATCCAGGCTAGAACGGCGGCTCCTTGTTCGATGCTCCACGGGGGCACGATCCAGCACAGGATCTCCGGGTCGCCGGTACTTCGACGCCACCACACAAAGTACTCGTGATTCACACATGTACTTACAAAACACTGCATTCCTTCACTGTATTCCATTTTCGCTGTATTCTTTCACTGTATTCCTTCACTGCATTCCTTCACTGCATTCCGTCACTGCATTCCGTCACTGCATTCCTTCACTGCATTCCATTTTCACTGTATTCCTTCACTGCATTCCTTCACTGCATTCCTTCACTGCATTCCTTCACTGCATTCCTTCACTGCATTCCATTTTCGCTGTATTCCTTCACTGCATTCCTTCACTGCATTCCATTTTCACTGTATTCCTTCACTGCATTCCGTCACTGCATTCCTTCACTGCATTCCATTTTCGCTGTATCCCATCATCACTGCATTCCGTCACTGTATTCCATTACTGCAACGTACATCCATTACGTACACACTCTATTCACACGCGAGATACTCTCTTAAACGATAACGATAGCGAGAGAGATACACTTGGATGCGACCGCATCGTCCACATCGCCCGGCGTGTTTCTACTGTTTCTGGAGCTAACGTTTTGGGCGCGCAATTGCCACGATGCGATCTTGAGAAATTTCAAATTGAACCAATCATGTCGCGACGATCGGACGTCGTCTCATCTACACTTGCTGAGTGTACTTAACACGACGTATATGTGTGTATACGTAAGTACACTCAGTCTTTGGAGAAAAAAAAAAGAAAATAAACAAGACAAATGCAATTAGATATTAATCAGAAATGCTACTTTAATAAATAAAATTAAAAAATGTTTCAATTAACATAAAAAATAGAAAATTTTATATATATGTATACATACATTGCAATAATTTAATTGCCTAATACCATAAAATTGTTTCAGATATATATTGCAAATTATATTAAAACATTAAAACGCATTTAAAATAGCAGAATTATAATGGAAATTATTTAACGTAGAAATAAAATTTGGAAGATCAAGAGGGAAAATAAATGAGAAAATTTTATTCCAAGTTTTAATAGGCCTCATCTTTAATAAAAGTACAATTTGAAGACGCAGCCGATCGACTCTTGTGTCTTTCTATACCAGTATAGAAATCTGTGGGGCGGTATATTTGTAATAGTCTGATTTTACATTCAAGATTTTGAGATGCTACAGTCAGATCTCACAGAAAAATTTTAGGATCAAATCTAAGGACGATATTCATCGTCCGATCTTACATTTTATTGTGAAATCGTTTTAAATAGTTTTATGCAAGTGTGGTTTTAAGATCATTTAAAATCTCAGAATTTTTATTAATAGGATTATCTAAAAATCATGCTTAAGAACAGTATTCACAATTCGATCTTATATTTAAGATCGTTTTAAATCCAATCTGAATCGTGATCTTATGATCATCTACAACTTATCCTCCTTGATGTTAGTAGTTCAATTTTGTAAAAATTAAAGAAGAAAAACTTCAAGTTCAATTTTGTTTCTTAAGATTGTGTTAAATCTAATCTCAACCATCCAATTAATAATACAGCTTCATTAAATTGTGCTTAAGACGATCTTAAACATAAGGATTATGAATACTGATTAATGAATTTCCTTGGTCATAAAACACATGGAGCATAGAGGAGACAAGTTTATAGACAAAACGTATCAGATTTTTAAAAATCTATTGTCCTAACAAACTATTTACATATCGTTTTAGGAGCTATTTTGTATATCTCAATTTGCATTTCAAATTTGTATATATTGCATTGTATATCTCAATTTACATTTCATGTAACGCACGCCAAAGCCAATTTATTTGTTAAAAACTTTTAACAGTGGTTTACATTGGCCTAGTTTACACCGAGCACTTGATACGTGTATCAAATAACAAATCACTTGATACGGTCGGTGTAAACATTCGCGAATTATCTTAGTACGGTCTGGTCTGATACTCCTGAATCGCTATCAGACCAAAATACGCGTATCAAAAGATCCTGACGCATTGTAAATACTTAGTTCGTTTTCAATCGGATTAAATACGTCACTGCTGCATTAGGTTAAAGTTGCTTTAAGATTAAAATCAGAAGTTTTGCGAAATGAAAAATCTAAAACCCTATCATAACTTATTTCGAAATAAATCGGTGCAAACAGTGACGCGTAAGTACTTAGCACCAACCTGATACTTGTATCAATTAATCTTACGGTGTAAACTAGGCCATTCGTGCGCATTCGCGAGTGGTACACGTCTTTTCTCGTGATAAATACAGCTACGAGCTCTCAACTAAAGAAGTACGAAGACGACATGACTGCGTTGATGTCGAAGCTACCCTTCTTCGGGATCTTCTTGAAGACCTGTACCGGGGCACCCTTGTTCTTCAGCTTCACAGCCCTGAAATTACAAATTGGGAAATTATAATCTCAATGAAACGCGTCATCTCATCTTGTTTTACATTTCGCGCTGTCAGATTCGCGATCTCCACGAATCCTTTCATTATTCGAGATCATAAAAGATGTGGCAAATCAAACTCACCGTCCATCGATCATGAAGTGTTTTATGTATTTCTTACAAAAGAATTTGGATAGATTCTCGAGAATGGGCTCGTTGTGAAGTGCGACAAATTGCTCCCGGCAGATCTGGAAAAAACGCGAGAACATCGCACGTTAAGGCTTTTCGCATTTATTTTTAAATATTTAGCGTTACACGCTGTCTTTGTGATGAATTCTTACTCTGTTCATAACGTCCACCGTGCAGGCGTGCGTCCAGAAACAATCGTGCACCGACATAAACGTGATCCCCGCCTGTTCGGAGTACAAACTCGTCAACATCATGTGGGAGGAGTCCAGCGAGTGGATGAAATTCGGCGCGAAAGCATTCCTTTGCTTCAAAGTGTCCAGCTTCCTGCAAATAGTATTTACATTACGTAAATTTTATTTAAAAACAATAACTATATATATATATATATATATATATATATATATATATAAAGTAAACGCGAGAGATATACTATAAAGAGAGACGACAGTTTCGAAGAAATTTCAGGAATTGGCGATATATAATAATTTATTTTATAATAATTCATTTATTATATAATAATTTAGGAATAAGAATTCTCGCATTTTCTTATTTCGCCACAAATCTTATTCGATCGATCGTACAGAAGGAACGAATACAAATACGAGAAATATGTAAACGCAATGAAATGTTAATAAACATGAACGTTAATGTGCTCACCTGAACTTGGGCTTTCTCATTGGAGTATTAATTTCTTGTTTTTGATAGTCACTATTATGCTTGGAGTAGGGCTGTATGACCGGAAGACCCATCGGCGTCACCCACTGGATGTACTGGTTGCACCTGATCGTGATGACGCTGGCGCAATCCGTGAACCAGTTCTGTATCTCCCTCGCGCTCTCGAACATGTTCTGAAGGGACGTGAACGTCTTGTCGACGAGGTAACCGCTGCCGGACCAAACGTACTTCTCATCGAAGTCCTTGAGATCGCTGAGCTGCCTGGCGATCTGCAGCCGGGCGCCGAACTTGGTCACGCCGTACACCGTGGTCATCACGGTCTGCTTTATGACCTTCCTCTTGACGTGCCCCTCCAGGGCCCTGGCTATCTCGTTACCGGCGTCCGCGTCGGCCCGCCTGTACTCGTCGACCATGTCGGCGACGACGCTGTACACGTCCTGCGGCCGGTCCGAGGGGTACAGGTTCACGCTCTTCGCGCCTATCAGATCCCTACCGAGCGCGGCGTAGTGCTGCAGGCCGTTGCAGCTGCCGTCCTGGTGGATGGGCAGCCGGCAGACGTACTCCTCCACGTTCGGCGACCGCAGCGCGTTGTCGATCTCCTTGCACGCCGCCAGAGTTTGCCACGGCTCGTCGGCCTTGGCCCACCACATCTCCCCCGTCAGCGGGTTCCTCGCGCTGTCCACGATCAGGTCCAGTATCTCGTTCGCGAACTCCAGCCGTGTGTGCAACGGCTCCTTCTTCTTCAGACCGGTCATGTTGATCGCGTGAATCTTCAGCCAGTCCAGACCACGGGGACCCAGTGGCTTACCCTGGGCGAACATGAGGATCGATCGGCCGAGGTCCGAGCTGAGGTGGGTCAGATGAGGCGGCACCGGGTACGCCCTGCCTCGGAAGTCCAGATTGTGCGGCATCCAGAATATCTTGTCCCTGAAGTGATTGGCGAGGGACAACTTGTAGAGGCAGTCGCACCACAGCGAGTGCATCTCGTTTCTTTTGCGCTTGAGCTGTAGCAGCAGCTTCACCGTCTCTCTGTTATCCCTGTCCGCGTCGCTCGCGATCATGTCCGACGGAGACGGGACCACCGTGGACGGCTGAGGTACGTTCAGCTCCTTCGAGCCGCCCTCTCTGAAGATCTGGATCAGGATATCCAGAACGGGCATGTTGATGCGCCACGGGATCGAGCCGAGTTGATTCAGGCAGTCGAGCGCCGGGTACAGCTGCTTCGTCGGCGTGTTCTTCAACAGGCGCGACGGTTTCATGTACGGATCGCGAGCGAACGGCATCTTGGAGAACAGGTAACCACCGGTGTTTATGTCGACCCAGGGACGCGGTGGCGAGCACGTCGGCACGAAGGTGGTCTCGAAGGACAGCGTGTCCGAATGCGAGTCCTTGTAGAACCTGTGCAAGTGTGGGTGAGGCTTGATCTCCTCCTTCAGGAACTTGTTGGAGTGCATCCTGAAGAGCAGGTAGAACGCGGGTATCTGCCGCTCGGGCGCGCCGGCCTTGAGCACGTGCGGGATCTTCACGTCGTTCAGGATGATGTTGTACAGAAACTTGCCGATGTTTATCTTGATGTTGCGCGACCACTCGGGCACCGCGGTCTCGCAATAGATTCCGGACCGCTTGGCCTCCTGGACGAGCCGCTGCCACTTGACACGCCCGTTGACATTCCTGTCAGCGGGATCCGTCTGCATGTACCACTCCAAGTACTTTCGGTAGATCTGAACGGAGTTCTCTATAATGCCGTCCCTCGTCTGCCGCTGAAACTCGTACCTCTTGTAAATGTACGCTCCCAGCGTTTGATAGAGATGCGTCATGGTGCAGCTGTAATTCTCGGAGAGTTTGGTCAGCTGGTTGATCTCGTTCAGAATCGCGTTGACGTACTCCTCCTTGGGCAACACTTGCAGAAACGGATACAGAGTCTTCAAGTCGCTCATCGTTTTCGTCTCCTTCTGCTTCAGGTAAGTCAAGTTCCTGTCGAAAGCCTCGGCCACGGTCGTCTTCCAGATCTCCTCCCATTCCGCGATCCGTTTGACAGCTTGCTCTCTAACGTTGGAGTCGCCGGTGAACAGCGCGATATTCAGTACGTCCAGTTTACATTGTTTCTCCAGCTTGACCTGCGTGCGCATCATTTTCCGCAGCTCGTCCATGGTCACCACTCCCTTCGCCGGGTTCTGATAGTTACGGTTCCTCGTCAGATTGTTCAGTAAATTGCAATCGTGCGCGGTGTCGATCTCTTTGTGCTTTAAACGGTAATTTGAATCCAACGATGTTATACATTGAAGAACAGTGTTGCGTTGCGTCGTGTTCATCACGACCGATTCGTTCATTATTTCGTTGAAGGAGATGCCACTGCGTTTCATGTCTTCCATCACTTCAGTCGCGGTCTCTGCAAAGAGTAATGTTCAAATTGTAGAAATGTTGTGATATAAAAAAAAAATATATATATCTAAATGCTCCTATCAGATTATCTATAAAATCTCTGCGGGTACAAATAATATAGAATATAGATGTGTATCAGATAGAATTTATAAAATTCTAGTAACATCAATTTCTTAGAAAATCTAGACTTTATTTTAAATATTGGATAAACCATTATATACGGAATAACAGAATAGGAAAATTGAATCATTTAAGAAAAATATTTTGAATTTATCAATAAGTCTCATAAAAAAATAATTTTCTCGTAAAAAATTTGTCGAGTGAGCATTATATTTTCATTATAATTTTTTAAAAATTGTGAAATTTTCACCTTAAACAGTTTTAAAAAATGTTTGGTTTTTTCATATATTTATAATCTTAATAGATCTTTTCAAGGTGCTTTTTTCTCATCTTGTATATTACAATGTTTTTTATCATATTAATCCCTATTTACCTGCACGTTTCTCCTTGTTTTTTATCCTTTCGATTATCTCGAACATAAGAGCGAACGTGTCGAAGTTCGGCTGAACAGACTCCTCCTTCATTATTCTGTAGATCTCGAATGCCTTTTCCACGTGCGCGTTAGAAACGTGGGTCTTTAGGAGCAGATTATAGAGTGAAACGGCGGAGGCTTCGTTGCGCTTCAAATAACTTTTCTTCGACATGAGCATCTTGAAGGCTTTATGCGGCATTTTGATTTGTATAAAAACATCCATATGCACTAGCAATTGAGAAATTAGAATTTCGCCAGAATGATTATCAAATTTATCCACCTCACTCGTGAAGGGAATTTTAGTAAACGAATTCGGAGTCATGTGGCACTTTGGTGTGTTCTGCGCACTGAAAAAAAAAAAAATAAATCATACATAGTGAAGAAAAGGAATCTCTTTTCCAGATTATTTCAGTTGTAATTGTACTTAGGTACATGTCCATCCAGACTTTTATAAAAAAAAATAAATTGTACACGGTGAATATAAAGGGAATCTCTTTTCTACAGATTATTTCAATTATAATTGTACTTACATGTCATCCAGACTTTTATCTTCATTGCCATTCTCCTTGATCTGCTGCAGCATATCCAGGAAGGAAGAATCCTTAATCAACGTGGTGTGATCGCTTACGCCGGACTCTTTCAGATTCTCCACGATTGCGGACGTGTCATCTAATTGCTCGTCGGATTCCTTAAGTACGTCGTGTGTGTCGTCAACCTTGTCGTCCTAAATCAACATGTCAATTTCATTTTTGCAAGTGATTTGAATGTCATGTTATCTGATATTTAAATTATATCTTCTTCATATCAAACATGCCTTAATTAAAATATCTCTACTCAGAAATGTTAATTTAACTTTTTGCAAGTGATTTGAATATCATTTATCCGATATTTAAATTACACCTTCTTCATATCAAACCCTTAATTTAAATATTTCTATTCAGAAATGTGTTTTACATAATTAATATTCCAATCTTCTCCTTAGAGATGCATTTCATCATCACATAAAATTTAATCTACTTACGATCTTTTCATTGATGTCCTTCGTTTGCGTCGCAATCGTCTCCTTCTTATTACGAAAATCAGGGATCTTGTCCAGCGTGATATTGGGCTCATCCACCAGGAGGGACACCTGGGCAGAACTCAACTTGCGCACTGCTGCTTTTCTACTGTTGGTCGTCTGGTTCGTTACTAATGACATTAACGATAAAGGACAATTACTTATTATTCATTAAATTTTCAAATTCACGGAATGACGCATAGCGCATGTTCTTTTTACATTATATGCCATTTTTTTTCATTTGAAACACTTTGGATTAGAAGAGAACTACACTCTACATAGAACTGAGCCAGTCACAGTCTCGACTTATTGATAAAAATGTAATGAAACTGACATGATTGAAGGAGAGTCATATTAGAGGACAGAGATATTATAACGTGCGAAATAGTCATTGATTGAAGAAACTCTTCGAATGTACTCTTTACAACATGCATCATAAAGAATTAATTGCTCACTTCTTCGTGTTAGACACACGTCACCTTTTGTATATTTTCATTGTGTGTTCTCTAAACTGGCGTACCTTCTAATAGCTCCGTGTACTTCTTCGAGCGGCGTTTGGCTTTCTTTTGCATGGGAGTTTCCAGTTTAACAGTATCGGTTGTTGCGTAACAGCGGATCACTGTACATCTCACAGCTGAAAATAAAACAAAATAAGTTAGCACAAGGTTTAGCAACAGCAGGATCTCACGGTTCCTCGGTTCCCCCATTCTTCAATGCAATCGATATGAAGTAGTTTAGACCCTAAAGAACACAAATCGTAAGCATATAAATTACCAATAAGAACCGACGTGGGTACGTACTTACATTGCAATCGATAATAAAGTTTACGTATATACGCAACATGTCGGATCTTATTGTTAAACTATAAGCTCATCTTTATGTAATCTTCCATCACCTTGACAAGGACCATCTATACAGAATGTCCCGAAATATTTTCAGCCACAAATACATGTACGCACATAAATGTGCAGCGAAGAGAAGTTGATCAAAGCCCCTGTTAAAGCGTGACATCGTTATTTTATGACAACTAACGTGGAAGCAAATAAGGAGACACGAGGACACCGCGCTGTGAGCTGCGAAGCGTGCAATTCTCTCATTACGATCGTCAATCAGGAAAAGAGCGGTAAGCGAAGAGGTTAGGACTGCGACGGGGGGGAGGAAGGCTCGAGTTCGCGTTGGACGGCAATATCGTGTCACTCGCGATCGGCTCGTAAATACGGTCTCGGACACGTGCGTGTACTTACCGCGGGGCGTGCTCGGATGATGGAAGTTGCAGAACGAGCACAGCCGCGTCCGGCACTGGGCGACCGGCAGCGTCGACACGATACGCGCGCTCTGCATCCCCGACGCGGCGCGCGTCCTCAGGAAGTTGAACATGCTTACGTGCCGAGTCGGCGACGCGAGTCCTCAATCGCCGCGGACATCGACGAGGGTGTCGGCGACGGGACGAGCTAACCTCGCCGCGCCATAACACCACTAACAAATACAACGCGATACACGAGTGTGCGATCTCTCGCGACAGTCGCGACTCTCGTAGTCGTTCTCACGAACGAACGCGCATTCGGTCTCCTCGGTCTCGGTGCAGATGGCGCTGGGAGTGCAATCGAGTGGTGATCGACATCAGTCGTGGGGAAGGCATTCATGGTTCCGAGACTTCCGAGGACTGCCACAATCGAAAAATGTGGTAAGAATCTTCATTTATTATATTATAATTATTATTATGTAACGCGACAAATATATCTAGACTTTTACACTTTCCTGTTAAAAAAAAAATCGTAAGAAAACGATAGAAAATGATGTAATTGTTTTTAATCGTAGTTATATAAACCGTAAACAAATTATCCTGTATAAAACGTACAATATGATAATTAATGTTTTAATCGTAATAATTCTGATAAATTTTATCAAACCGATATATAAAACAATAAATTGCTATAGAAATTCTATCGATATTTCAACGATTAAAATTGCTTTTATTAGATAATAATAGAAATAAATGATAGGAAACGATAACGACATATAGGACACGATAACATATTTGGCAAATCCTATCGAATTGTTATTGTTTTCTATCGATTTTTTTTTAACAAGGTTACTACACTTTCAGATTTTTACTTTTTTCAAAATTACTTTTTCGGACTTCGACAGAAAGATTTCGATCTAATCGAAAAGTGTGCTAAGTAATCGTCATTTATTATTATAATTATTATTATTATGTAATGCGACAAATATATATCTAAACTTTTACACTTACTACATTCTCAGACTTTTATTTTTTTCAAAATTATTTTTTCGGACTTCGGCAGAAAGGTTTCTCTCTGACTTCTCTCTCTCTCTCTCTCTCTCTCTCTCTCTCTTGATTAGTTCTCTCCCCTCCGGCCCCCGCTTGTCATGATCTGCGCACGTGCGTTCAGCGCGCTTTTTTTATCATTTTATAAAAACGTGATCTAATTTTACGGATGATGATTCTCTATCTATTTATCAATACAGCCGCGGATACGCTAATCTCTATGGTAAATTTTTTTTCTTTTCTCTCTCTCTCTCTCTCTCTCTCTTTCTGTCTACGATAAAACGTGACTAAAGCGAGTCGAGGTTGTTTCGTAAAAATGTCATGAATTTTCTCTCTAACTCGGAACGGTCGTTTAAGTAAATTAAGCACAAATATTTATTTTTCTGTAAAGTTATGTTTTAGACAACGTTCAAACAATTCGAAATCCCTATGAGATTGAAATTTCCCAGTAAAAAATTTTTCATATAAGAATTACATATATAAATATATATAAACATATATATAAAAATTATAATATTATATATAATTATACATAATTATATGCGAAATATGTCCATACATATTCATATATGTTTCTTTTCTTTGTAAAATTATTATGTTTGGTACAAGAAAACTAATAATAATAAAAAGAAACGGTAAAAAATAATTAAAAGAATAATTTTTGCATTTTTTTTGCAAAAAATCAAGTTTTAAGAAATGAGAAAAAATTGTTCATATATAATTATATGTGTGTTTTAATCATTTACATATATATGATTATATATGAGTAATTTTTCTCATTTCTTCAAATGAGAATTTCTTGATTTTTTGTAAAAAAAACAATGAAAAAATTATCCTTTTAATTATTTTTTATGTTTCCTTTTTATTATTATTTTTTTTAATTAAAGAATAATTTTACAAAGGAAAGAAACATATATAGATATATATGGACATATTTTGCATATAATTATATATAATTGTATATTTTTATATATGTTTATATATATGTTTATATGTATTTATATACGTTCTTTTTTTTCCCGGGAATTTATATAGTAAAATAAATTTAAATTCAAATTTAAATTTAAAAAATTGTTTAATAAGAGCGAAATATACAAAGTATGTAATTTTGAGATATCAAAACGCTTAAGTAAAATTATGGACAGAAAAATATCAAAAAATCTAATAAAAAATAAGCGTACAACATTGATAACTTTCGTTAATAAATACCTTTGATTTATATAGAAAAACCATAAAAGAAAATAAGAATTTAAACAGGCAGTGATTAGAAATTGCAGGATTTACGATTATTTTAGACTGACAATGAGTTCGTGTTGAACTTTTGTCCCACCAGCTTGAGAACGTAATGCGTAAATCAAGAAGAAGTAGTTTAATACAAGGAAAAACAAATTACGACTCACAATATATTGCTTGCGGGATACATTACGTCGGAATTCTTCGTCCTCTCGAAAGATCATGTGACGTTCGTGTGCATCAAGGACGTCACGACGGAATATTTTTTTCTTTCTTTTTTACAGGTAATAACGAAACAATGTTCGTAACGACGCAGATTAAATACATACCTGTATAAATGCGCGAACGTTAACGAATCGAATCGGGGCCATGCATCCTGTAAGGAGGTGTAAATCTGCAAAGTATAGCAACACTTTATAATTCACACTTTAATTACAGTCGCACTACTGGCGACGAATGAAAGTGACGTCAAAAGGATGAATCACCGATTGGAAAGTCGAAACAAAGGTGGACTTTCCTTCTATCGCGTCACGAAATATGTGAGAAAAGTCAACTTCTGACATTATTGCGACATATTTACACATCAATTGCATCGCGTCTCATCGCGTATATCTTAACTTGCCAAAATCTGTCCGAGAACAGATTTTAAAAGGATCTGCTGCAAATTTTTGTCGACAGACTGCCACCGAAATAAATAATCACCAAACAATTCTGTTAATTAGAGTCTGTCAACAATTAAAATATAATGACAGAAATTTTCATGTTGGCCGCATAAAATATAGTGACAGAAGTTTTAATGTTGGCCGCAGAAATCGTGCAGAATCCGTCGTTTCGCATTTAAATAATATATTCCATTTAAAGTTTGCAAAACGACAGATTCTGCTGGGTGTACTTATTCAGCTTACAAAGAATTATAAAACCCATGTTAAATAACGCATTGGAGATCGAGAATTGCAAAGTGGAGATTAGAATTCGACAAATCAGATAATTTCAATTTTTAATCATTTCTGATTGACAGAAACTTATTTAACCTTTATATCTTGCAATTCTCAATCTCTAATGCGTAGTCTAATACAGGCTCCTGTCTGATTAAGCCACTGTCACACTATATAAGCTTTGAAAATTTCGGATTGTGTCTTGAAGACTATATAGATTTCAACTATAATTAGAGCAACACATATTAAAATTGAAATTAACGGGTCGAATTCCAATTTTCAATTCGCAATTTTTAATTTCCAATATGTAGTATGCGATACGGGCTTATAAAGCTTATCAGACTATACGTGTTGGAGATTAGAGTTCGATCAATTAAAATGAAATGGATTAAAGCCCAGTTGGTTAATTCCTGCCAACAATCTGTGCTGTCAAGTTATATCGATGGGTTTTGTCAACAAAACACGAGTTAAATGTGGACGCAGATGATATCGAATCTATATTGCAATATCTGAGCCAATCTGCTGCCAATCTGTTGTCATACCGCTTGCTCGTTCCTCCTCGTCGCGTTACGAAATGCGGAGGGAAAAACTCACCATACGGCATCATCCCGTCTAATTGCGTTTTCACGATCACATCTCCGTTAAACGCCTTGATAAAGCAACTCTGCGCGCGGCTCTTAATAGCGAGTTTTAACTATAATAGTTACGAACTTCTCTCTCTCTCTCTCTCTCTCTCTCGCGCGCGCGCGCGCGCGCTCGTCCTTGGATCCGTACGCGCGGAACGAGGACGGGGTTTGTTAAACAAAAACGCGAACGAGAGAGCCATTGTTATTTTGCAACACCGCGCGCGGAGGAGGTGTTTAAAACGTGACTCGAAGCTATAGGCTCGCACACTGTACGCGATTCCATATACTTTTCCCCCGTCACGGTCACGGGAGAGATCGCGATATTGTTGCACATTGGCCTCCCATTGATGTGTATATAAATGAATATTTAATGCCAATTACCCCGTTAATTGCCGCCGCGCGCGCGCGGCTTAATTATTACTACATTCTTCATCGGCCGCGTGGATATTTGTCGACGCGTGCAGGGGTGGGGCGCGTTCATTTATCCTCGGGAGGTTTCCCGGATGAGTCACACGGCACGATACGATTATATCTTCGCTCTCGATACGATCGAATTAGAGCTGGCGCGCGCGATTTTCTTCCGGGGATTCCCCGGAACACTCCCGATTCGCCGAATCGAATCGGGGAAAAGGCGCGCGCGAGCCGGGCGCGGGAGAAACGCAAGCGGAAATAACGCTCCGTGGGAAAGAGGCGGAGGGCGCTTGGGAGGGAGACGTCCTTGATTAGCGGCGTTTAATAGCGTATAAAGGAAACCGTCCTCGTCCGTCGCGGGTTCAGACCGCCCGGCCGTCTCGAGCTCTCGACACAGTCATGCCCGCCAACGAGGATACCTCCAACGACGACGGCGCGTCGGCGCGAGCGGAACCCGGAAGAGTCCACGGCCGACCCGCCGCGGCAGCCCCGCGGCGGAAGTTGTCCGCGGGGGAACGTCCGCGGGCGAGTCCGGCTCTCGTTAACGGCATCGAGGAACGACGGGCCGCCGAGAAACGGGACTTCCGCAGCATTCCGCGCCGGGACGCTCACGAGAGGCTCTTCAGGGACTTCTTCGAGATCATGCTGCAGCGCGCGGTGTTCCAGGTGAGCCTGAAACCGAGAGAGAGAGAGAGAGAGAGAGAGAGAGAGAGAGAGAGAAGAGAGCACTCATATTTATTTCACATTTTCGTGGATTTGAGCGCGATAATCTTAATCGGAACGGAACAATAGAAATTCTGCAAACGATGCAAATGTGTAATATGTTAAATATGTTCCGAACCCGACTTGAGCGCAAGTTTGTCAAACAGATGATGAAAAAATTAGAAAAGAGAGAAGATTGCACACTAAAAGAGAAGGAAGCGTTTATGGATAGAACGTTATGTAGATGTTATTTATATAGGTATTAATTTACACAAAATGAAATTCTTAATTTATATATATGTATGTATGTATAGGGGAAGATCGTCGATTCCGTCATATCACTTTGTTTTTGGATATTTCTTAAGCAAAAGCTAAAAATAAAGCTTTGAATACATGAATATAAAATATAAAATGTCATCTGTCAGATAATATTCCAAGCAAAATAGCAGGAAGAAAAGTATAAGAAAAAGGAAAATATAAATAGAACAATAATATATACATAGTATCCAATTTTTTATATATTTTTTTAAATTTGATTTTTATGTTTTTAATTGATTTTATGCCGAAACAAATCACAAATATATAAATTATGGGTTTTTACTTCTTCAATTATCTAAGCAGATCATATCTTCATCAGTATATTAAAGTGCTACGTTTAATTTCTGAAAAATCAGTGGTATCTCTTTAAAAGATCTATCGGCGACTTTTCTCTATATATTATATACATATATATGTAGATATAAATATAAATTAAGAATTTAATTATACATATATTGTGTAATTGTATAATTTAATAATATATAATATATATAACTATTTTTATTCTGTATACTTCTTTTCATATTCACATCTGCTCAAACAATAGAACATTATTCTATTCTGCAGGGGTCGGTCGTTTTATTATTATTTATTATAAAACTTTTTTATATTTTTCATTTTAAATAAGTCGTGTTTCTGGAATCTATTTTATATTATTTAAAATAGGTTATTTTAGTTGCCTTATCGACTTCTGCTTCGATCGTATCGTAAAAAAACATTATTTAAAATATATATTTTATATTTGTTATTTTAAATAGGTTATTTTAGTTGCTTTATCGACTTCTGCTTTGATCGTATCGTAAAAAAACATTATTTAAAATATATATTTTAAATCATGTTATTTTAAATAGGTTATTTTAGTTGCTTTATCGACTTCTGCTTTGATCGTATCGTAAAAAAACATTATTTAAAATATATATTTTAAATCATGTTTTTTTACGATACGATCGAAGCAGAAGTCGATAAAGCAACTAAAATAACCTATTTAAAATAACAAATATAAGATAGATTCCAGAAATACGACTTATTTAAAAAATATAAAAAAGTAATAGAAATAAAAAAAATAAAAGAATTATTTAGTATTTATTATTCTAAATAATTTCTTCTGATCTATTTCTTATTTAATATTTTAAGTATGTTTTTGGAATCTATATTTTATATTTTTCATTTTTTAAGTTGTATTCGTTTTTATTGACCTCTGCGATATTTTATTTTAAATAAGTTTTTGGAATCTATTTTATATTTCTATTTTAAATAAGTTGTATCAGTTATTTTACCGATCCCTGCTATTCTGTCTACTTGAATTTGCATACCTATCTGTCTCTATAGAGAACGCTATCACGATCGGATTGAATGTTATCACGTTATCATCATTATTACATGTGATACATATGCAAATGATATCGCGAATGCGCGATTTCGCAATGTTGCAAGAGAGAAGTGAATCTCTCTCTGAGAAAAATAAAATACACTTTCCGATATACCAGAGGTTTCCACTCGTAACGCCGCAAAACGGTTAATAGCCAGATCCTTAATAGCCGACATCGTTGGATGTCGCGCCGAGTGATTAACGCGCGATTAACGTTGCATTTTTATGCTAATGCTATTCCATTCATCACAAATACGGCGGAATTTGCGCCGTTTGACAGATGTAATAGCGGTATATTGCTGGCAAATTGCAGTGAAACGCAGCGAGTGCCTCGCCGCCGGTAATTATAAATCGCCGGTACGTATTGATCTCATTATCATGCCGCGCTCCTCGGCAAATTAGATGCAAATCACATATAAGTGACTCGACCAGGAACACGCGCTGAGAAAAAAAAAACGCGATCCTTAACGAGAACGCATTGTTGTCTTGCGTAACGTGGTCAGAAAAATGCGGCGTATTTTGCGAATTCGTTTATTAATTCCACGAGAAACTCAAGATCGATCAAAGTCAACTCGAGATTTTCCTAACAAAAATTCTGTTAGATTTCTTTTAATGTTTTGTATTTTTTTTTAACGTTGGACGTTTAAACGACGAACAAGATTATTCATTCGCGGAATTGCGTTTTGTTCAGAATATAATATAATTCAGAAGCTACTTATATTTCGACATTTTCGTTGAGAGAAAGTTAAATCCATAAATTGCATCAAGAATTCGTCGATGAAATATCAGAAGTACGTTGCAAAACACCGTGCAACAAATCCTTGTTACCTTCATCGTATTATTATTTAGACTCTCGAAATTAAGTTTGATCTTGGAAAGATTCTTAATCGGTAATTTTTTATCATCATTTTCGAAGGAAGAAACTAAAAGAAATCACCTTCTATTATCAAACAGCAACGTTGTTTGTGTGACAAGAAAATCATGTCGATCCCCGTATTAAAAAAACTTTTATATCTTATGAATATTTTTAGAAATTTTTCATATTTTAAATTTTTATGAAAATTTCTGAAAACCTTAATTCTTTAAATTTTAAGTTTCCTTTAATTATGAAATCTTAGAAATTTAATATTATAATAAAGAAGTCTAGAAAAGATGCAAACTTTTTCAGCATTTCTAAAAAAATATTCCAATTCATAAATCTATATAGAAATTTTTTAATAAGCATTTTATATAAAATTATATAAAGAAATTGTGAAAAATTCTAAAGTTTATATAGAAATTCTGATAAATTATGTGAAGAATTCTAAGAATCATTTTCACGAAAGTTTACATTTATCCGCAAAGATTAGGAGATAAAGAGCGATTGTTCCTCTCTTATCCGTGTGCTATCGTATCGTGTTTTGTGCGTAGTCCACTTCCGGGGAGGATCGCGTGGTCGAATGGGTGGACCCTTGCGATCTGCGCTCGGTGGTCGATCTCTCGCTGCCAGCCGAGGGTGTCAGTCACGAGGAGCTGCTGGAGCTGACGCGCGATGTCATCAAGTACAGCGTGAAGACGGGCCATCCGCACTTCGTGAACCAGCTGTTCTCCGGCCTGGACCCGTACGGGCTGCTGGGCCAGTGGCTGACCGACGCGCTCAATCCGTCCGTTTATACTTACGAGGTGTCCCCGGTGTTCTCCCTGATGGAGGAGGATGTGCTGCGGGAGATGCGAGCCATCATCGGCTGGCACGGCGGCGAGGGCCTCTTCTGTCCCGGCGGGTCCATGGCGAACGGATACGCCATCAACCTGGCGCGTCACCATAGGTGATTATTTATCAGTTTTCAAGGTATAATTATTAGAAAAATTTATTTTTTATTATTTCATTATTTTATGTAATAAAGTAATAAAAATAATAATTCATATATAATAGTATATATACATATGTACATATTTTTTTCTCTATTTATAATTATTGTCATTATCAGATTGTCGTTGGGATCAAACGAATAAAGTGGACATTCTTAACTTCAGATACCCGAATCTGAAGCAGTCCGGATTATCGCAGATGCCGCGGCTGGTGGTGTTCACGTCGGAGGACGCGCACTATTCCGTGAAGAAGCTCGCCGCGTTCCAGGGCATCGGCTACGACAACGTATACCTGGTCAAGGTCGACGCCCGCGGCAAGATGGTGGTGTCCGACCTGGAGATTCAGATCGCCCGTGCCATCGAGGAGGGCGCCGCGCCGCTCATGGTGACCGCCACCGCGGGTACCACCGTGATAGGCGCGTTCGACCCTCTGCGGGAGATCGCGGAGGTCTGCAGGAAGCACGGACTCTGGTTCCACGTGGATGCCGCGTGGGGAGGCGGCGCGCTCGTCTCCAGGACGTACCGCGGCCTCCTGGACGGCGTCGAGTTCGCCGACTCCGTCACATGGAATCCCCACAAGATGCTCGCCGCGCCGCAGCAGTGCTCCACTTTGCTGCTCCGTCACGAAGGTCTCCTATTTACCCTTATATTTTTCCTTGCGTTTCTTCACTTTTATTTGATAGAAAAAAGATTCTTTTGATATTTTTAATTGGTATTAATTTATATTTTAATGTTACAAGATTTTATCTTAAAGTTAAAACATTGAATAATATATGAATTTCAATTAATTAAATTAGTTATTACAATTTACATTAATTATTTAACGCCTTATTATTTGTTACATACTACTTTATCAATATTTTAGCTAACTAATTCGTAACTTTTTTAAATATTTTTAACTATAATCAAACAAAGATTATAATTAAATTTTTTAAAAGTGGTTCAATACTTTTTAACTCAATTTTTTTACATACAAAGAATAAAGTTATATAATTAGTGGGTGCTATTTAAGACACACTCCATATACTTCAACTAGAACAGTCCCTAACATCTCATACAACGGTGCTATCGCACTTACAGGTCTGCTGCAAGCGGCGCACGGCTGCGGGGCGAGCTACCTGTTCCAGAACGACAAGTTCTACGACGCGTCGTTCGACTGCGGCGACCGGCACGTGCAGTGCGGCCGTCGCGCCGACGTCGTCAAGTTCTGGTACATGTGGAAGGCCAAGGGCACGCGCGGCCTCGAGGCCCACGTTGACCGCGTGTTCGCGCTCTCGCGCCACTTCACCGATCTCATCAGGACGCGCGACGGCTGGAACTTGCTCGTCGAGCCGGAGTGCACCAACGTTTGCTTCCGCTACGTCCCGCCGTCGAAGAGGCACCTGGCCGGCCGGGAGCTCGAACGGGCGCTTCACAAGGTGCGCGACTACACACTCGATTCTACGCGATTTTAACGCGTTTTTTTGTTCTGTTTTGTCGACTATACTTATAAGTGCGAAAACAATGAATTGAGGGAATTAATTAACAATAAGCGTATCATCTTGTTCCGCTTGGGTTGACGAGATAAGAAACCCGACATTCTATACCCGACGTTAACTGAAGCTAATCGTGTTTAACGTATCACGGTTTTTTAGTTCTCGCTATATTTCGAGCTCATAATTTTTTATTTTCTTTCATTTTGTTAGCCTATATATTTCATGATTTATAATTTTCATAAAATTGTCGCAGATCGCGCCGATGGTCAAGGAACGCATGGCGCGAGCCGGATCGATGCTGATTACGTACCAGACGCTGAGAGATATGCCGAACTTCTTCCGATTGGTGCTGCAGAACTCGGGATTGACAGAGGCTGACATGAAGTTCTTCGTCGAGGAGATAGAAAGGCTCGCTGCGGACCTTTGATTAGTTTAAACTAGTGAAATACTGTAAATAGCGATATAGAATGTGTATGTATTATTAGCTTAAGAATTAGTTGCACTTGTGGTATAAATCAACGTTAATTGAAAGAAAATAGGAAACAATCACTGACGCCTATCCCTCTCTCTCTTAATTTTCTCTTTAATTTATGTATAACGCATTTAATTTCAATTATATTACGGTCTACCGCATTCCTTCCACAATGAGATCAAATAAGTTCTTTATATTATTTTTTTCCTCTTCAATTTTCATTCATATCTTATGCATTTATAATGCATATATGAATGAATTTAGTTATTATAATCATCCTAGAATAAAAAAGCGTGTGAGAAACGCACAACAGAACTTCATTCTGTACATTGTCGAGTGATAAAAAAAGAACAATTAACTTTGAGAGAAAAAATTAACTTCATGGAAACTAGATGGGAAAGAATAGAAAATTGCATGAAAAGAAAAAATAGTTGTTAACTGCAACAATATTTAAACAATTCTCTTTGTTAACTGTTATATAATATTGATCGTTAGTTGATGATCGGAATAACGATCTCTATAGATATGTACAAACATTCTTCAGCAGTGATTTACATTTACATTTACATACAACAATTTAGAGCCTTGCCACGATTTCTACACAACTCGATAATAACTTCGTATGCAACAATCGTCTCTTATAATGAGTAATAATACTAACCGTAGTAAAAATAATTTACGTTTACACGACGCGTTCGGACTGAAAATTGGCCCTCACAAATTTCTTCTATTCTTATTCTTTATGCTTTCTCAGCATAGAAAATATACTATTATTATTTAAATTTAACTGTATTCTTTAAGAAACTTGATGTGGAAATGCTTTAATGCTTCAAGCATTGTTTTTAATTTCTCTTTTTGCGGCAGTATCGTGGTTCGGAAGTGATTCGTGCCGGCTCTCTGGCCCAAGTACGAGCCCGGGAGCACGTAGATCCCGGTGCTCTCCAACAGTTTGAACGCGTAGAAGACGTCCGGTTCCTGGCCCTTTGCACGCGCCGCTTCAATCGCCTTCGGTGGCAGCTCGAAGCGTGGGAAAACATACATCGCGCCCATCGGTGGATTCGCCTAAAAAGAAAAAAGGCAGACGTCGTAGTAATATCGTAGCTGCTTTTATGGACTATCTCGCGAAAGAAAAGACAGTCACCTTGTATCCTGGAATACTGTTGAGCGTGTCGACGACAAGCTGCGATCTCTCTGCCAGGGAGCGCAGGATTTCCTTCTTCTCCATCTCGAATTGCCTGTACGACGGCTCGTTCGGTCGCGGCGGATTCGCCACGACGTCCAACACGACCTGGCCGAGCACGTTAGAGCACGGTAAGAGAGTCTTCAACATCATCTTCATCACTTGCGGATCCATGTTGATGATCTCGGCGTAGCCACCGCGCATCCCACACTCGCCCATGTATCCTGAAAACGAAATGCTTCAGCACGGAATATTTCCGTGATTTTCCGAGAAATCTATTCATGGATCTAAGTGACTCCCAAGATTTAATGTCTTCTCAGATTAAATAATGATGTTCAACGTTTCAATTCAAGTCAACAAACTCGCGAACGTAGTTTTGAGAATTCAATGTCCTTTAGTTAAATTACCTTGAAAGTCTATCATTTTTAATAAATTGTTTTTTGCGATTCCTAACGAATTACATCTCGTTTCTTCTTGCACACCTTTTGAGATCGACATGAACGACGCAAGCTCCATATTCGAATACGGTTCGCCCATCTCCATCATGACCTTCTTAAAGGAATGGAACGCGCTGTCTTTGTCGTATACGTTGTCCTGATAGACCTCGTCGGCCAGCAGGAACAGGTGATGCTTATGTGCGAAGCGGATTACGTCCTCGATGTTCTTGCGAGTCAGTACTTGACCGGTCGGATTACCGGGGTTGATCACCACCAGGACGCGAGGATTGCACGTGCCTTTAGCCTTTTCCAGGGCATGTTCCAGTTCGCTGATTTCCAACGACCACTTGTTGTCCTCATTCAGATAATATTTGATCTGGGTGAGACCGAACTCCGTTGTAGTCGCCGAGTACAGAGGATACTGAGGAATCGGGACCAGCACACCGGACGGTTTGTCGTCGATTATTTCCTGGAATAGCTTCAGAAATGACTGAAAAGGAAAAATTCGAAATATCAAACAAGAATGCGATGGAAAAAGACAAAATACAACTTTGGTAAATAACTGAAATTCCGTCATTCAAAATTTTAAAGTTTATAGTTAATTTTTATTTTGTATATCAAGCATGCGTAAAAATCATTATTTAATACATATATATGCAATACCTATGCAGCAATAAAATTTCATAATTCTGATCAAAGATCCCGCTCAATTTTAAAAAGACAAAGAATTCTCTATAGTTTATGAATTCTACTTAATGATATTGCACTTAACAATATTTAATTTATGAATTTATTTAAGAAGCACTCTATTTTTTTATTTGAATAAAAAATTGTTTAGAATTCTTGTTATAATGATGAACGATACAAGAAGTTTTGCTGAAAAAAAAAAACAGACCTAAAGATGAATTTTTCCAATATTTGTTATTTAAAATAATTTTCTGTTTTTTACGTCTGCGGAAACGGAAAATAGTTCTTGCACGCCAGAACGTTGCTAAATGATAAGTTCACTTCCACATGATCAGAATAAAAACTAATGTGAAGATAAGAAAAATACTTCAGGTCCACACACCATAATACAGTGAGTAGCCCCATTCGTGATGATGATGTCGTGGTAATCGGAGGGGATACCGCCGTCGCGATCCTGAATGTATTGTGCAACGTGCTTGCGTACGCACTCGATGCCGATCGTCTCCACGACGTACGAGCCCACGCTGCCTCCGTGGCAATCGCCTAGGATTATCCGGGCGCGATTCTTCGCGTCTTCCGGGTAGCTCGGGTCGTCCAGCAGATTCGGCAAAATCGTCAGGGTGAGCACCTGCCGCAGGAACGTGATGGGCCGCTGACCCATAGCGTGGGCGTCCCCCATGTTCGCCTTGATTACCTCTTTAAAGGGTTTCTCAACGCCCTGCAAAAAGAAAAATGATCTTAGATCCAATCGATACACTTGCTTACTTCTCGAACATTTTCAAACTTTTTAGCGACTTTATGTGCTACACAAATCGAAGTTTTGTCAAAGCAAAGTACACTCAAAGTTAAACGGAAAGTAAGTTTTTTATTATTTATTCGAGAAATTTTAAGAATCTTTAATCTCAGTTCCACGGAAATGGAGCGACCTATTTTTGATCACTTATAATCAAATAGCTATTTATATTTCAGATATTATATTTGAGAAAAATCAAAATCATTACTTACACATATATATCAGTCTATGTTAATTAAGTAAAATAAGTATAATTTTCGAGTAAAAGAATACTAAATAATTTTACATGTAAAATATAGAAAAAATAGAGCCTTTGCCAGAGAAAATGGTTTCAAACTACTAAACTTGGTAAACTTTGCACCGCGAAATTACATTATCAGCGAACAAACCGATCGTTCGCATTCGTGAGAAAGGTTGATACTTTCATTTTTAAAACGCATCTTAAATTCGAGTGCGCACGAAAAGAAGTCTTTTCGCAAACTTAGGCGGCTCGATATCAACGGAATCACATCTTATCTTGTGTTTTTGTCAGCAGCATTTTTATCAGAGTTTTTTCTCATTTAAATCTAGTATGCGCTTATCTTATCTCCCTTACACGGAGAATAAAGTGTAATTTTGTGTTATATAATAAACGTATTCAGCGCTCATTCAGCTCCGTTTGCACTTCACAGTTAGAGTTTCAATTAGTCATTATTTTTCCCCTCCTCCTTCTCGTTCTTTTCATCCATCTACCTTTTGATACTTGACGTTTCACTATGCAACCTCGCATCATCGTCTCTTTTCCACCCCTCTCTTGCTCTTCCGTTCGCGCCTGTTCAGTGTTTTTTACATTCGAGGCACGTAACTGCTGTGTTACATGTCGCGCAACTTCTCGCCGCTATATATCTTGCCCTTTCTTTTTGCGCGCGTACTCAGCTCTGAGAGAAGACTTCATTCTGCCCTGGAGCGGCGGTGTACGCGCCACTCGCCCTTGACAAAGTTCACTCGCTCCAGCTCAAATTTAGCCCTCACCTTTTGCAGCTCCTTCTCGAGCTCCAGTGCCCTGACGTGCAGCGGTCCGCGCACCGCGTACTCCATCCTGCGCAGGTTCACGAAGACGTTGTCCTCGGTGAGGACCTTGCCGCGCGGATCAGTCGCCGCCGTCACCGTTGCTGCGCTCGACGCCATGCCGCGACGCAGAATAACCGGTTGGAGGAACATCGGTGCGTTCACCCTATCTTTCGGCTATAATCAGTGCACCGCTGTCGCCGCCGCCGTCGCCGTCAACGACGCTGTCATCGTCATCGTCGGCCGGCCGCCGACGATCACGCTGGTTTACAAATGCGCGCGGTGCATGTTTAATTACTCTCTTGGTACTCCTTTTCTTTTTCCTTCTCTTCTTCCTTGTCCTCTTTCTGTTATTGCCCATTTATTTAACTTCATTGCCTCACCTTCGGAGTTTCTCCGGATATCTGGAAGTCTGTAATTATTTGTTCGATTTCAATAGTAAAATGTCCATCTCCGAACTACGTGATTTACCCATTTCCATTTTATGCTCCATCTCTAATTGTATAACTTGACCGCACTGCTATTGTCGAGAATTATCTGGACACTGTTGTTATATCCTTATAACACCTTATCAGGGAACCTTATCAGTCTTCTTACAGGAGAAGCCACTCCACAGACTGCACTACTGAGGGTCATGGTACAGAGGTCACCGACAAGCTGCTGATAAGAGGAAAGTCACTATTGAGATATTCTTTGATTTCATTAAGATTTTCAATACCATCACATATTGATCAACAAACTCAGTAGCATCGGTTTCTTATTATCTGCACTGGAATTGTTCATTTGGTGCATAGGTTTCAAGCCTTGAAGAGAGGGGGAGTATTTTGAAGGAGACCAATTGTAATTTGTAATGTAATAAAGTTAATGTTATAAAAGTAATAAGTTTTTTGTTTCAACATTGACCATATTTTTTTATCACAGTTGTGTGTGTGTGTGTGTGTGTGTGTGTGTTCTATTCGAGTGGTCATTATATACTCTTGATCAAAAATTTTTCTTCAAATTTTTTCCGCGACACACCTCAGAATGGTTCCAATCCACAAAAATATAATTTCTATCAAATTTTATCTTGAACAACGAGAATCTGTGCCTTCGACTCATTAACTAAACATTTGAGTTCTCTTATATTAATCTTTTTAAACTAATAATTTTGATTTTTAAAGATATTTTCCACAGAAATCGACCTTAAGAAATTTTCTTCTTTTACCATGTACGCTTTTCTATAATATATATGAAAACTTATATCTCTCTATACGTCTTATTTAAAAAATTAGGTGATCTGTTAATGATTAAAATATAAAAAAAACATGATAAAGTGATGAAAAGAATTTTGAGAAAACAAATTAAATCTATAAAAATTAAATAGGAAATAATAGGAAATCGTTGGGAAAGATAAAATACGTTATTAACAACAATATTCAAATAATATACTCTTTTCTTAATTATTATATAATTGACTGTTAATGTAGATATAACGATGACCATATATACAAGATATTTACAGATATTCTTCAACAGTGATTTATATTTACATTTAAATACAACAATTTAAAACTTCGTCATCATTTCTACACAACTTGATTACAACGTCATTTGCGATAACGATATCTTAATATAGTGAACCATTAAACGTAATATATTTTAGATTCGTGACGCGTTCAAACCGAGAATTAGCCCTCACGCGGATATGCACAGCCCCCAGGTCATTCCTCGATCATTGATTTCTACTTCTATTCTTTATAATCTCAATTTTCTTAATCGGAAATATATTATTATTTAACTGTATTCTTTAAGAAACTTAATGTGAAATTGCTTCAGCGCTTCAAGCATTGTTTTTAATTTCTCTTTTTGCGGCAGTATCGTGGTCCGGAAATGATTCGTGCCAGGCACCTGACCGAAGTCCGAGCCCGGGCTTACCATGATCCCGGTGCTCTCCAACAGTTTGAACGCGTAGAAGACGTCCGGTTCCTGACCCTCTGCACGCGCTGCTTCAATCGCCTTCGGCGGCAACTCGAAGCGCGGGAAAACATACAACGAGCCCATCGGTGGATTCACCTAAAAAGAAGGAAGGCAGACATCGTAGAAATGTCGCAGCTTTCGTGGGCCGCGAAAGAAAGGACAGTCACCTTGTATCCTGGAATGCTATTGAGCATGTTGACGACGAGCTGCGATCTCTCTGCCAGGGAGCGCAGGATTCCCATCTTCTCCGTTTGGAATTGCTCGTACGATGGCTCGTTTGGTCGTGGCGGATTCGCCACGACGTCCAACACGATCTGGCCGAGCACGGTAGAGCACACCATCGCGATCATCTTCATCAACGACTTCATCACTTCCGGATCCGTATTGATGATCTCGGCGTAGCCACCGCGAATCCCACACTCGCCCATGTATCCTAAAAATGAAATGCTTCAGCACGGAATGTCTCCGTGATTTCCCGAGAAATCTATTCAATCTGACTTGATAACCGCCTGAGCTCAATGTCTTCTTGGATCAAATATTAATCCTCAACGTTCCAATTAGGTCAACAAACTGGCGAACATAATTTTGAGAATTCGCGGTGTCCTTTAGTCAAATTGCCTTGAAAGTTTAATTTCATTCCATTCCCTTTTTAATAAATTACTTTTTGCAAATCTTAACGAGTTATATTCCGTCTTTTCTCGCGCACCTTTCGAGATCGACATAAACGACGCGAGCTCCATTTTCGAATATGGCTCGCCCATCTCCGTCATGACCTTCTTAAAGGAATGGAACGCGCTATCTTTATCGTATACGTTGTCCTGATAGACCTCGTCGGCTAGCAGGAACAGGTGATGCTTGTGTGCGAAGCGGATTACATCCTCGATGTTCTTGCGAGTCAATACTTGACCGGTCGGATTACCGGGGTTGATCACCACCAGCACGCGGGGATTGCAAGTGCTCTTGGCCTTTTCCAGGACACTTTCCAACTCGCTGATCTCCAGCGACCACTTGTTGTCCTCATTTAAATAGTAGTCGATTTGAGCGAGACCAAATTCCGCTATGGTCGCCGAGTACAAAGGATACTGAGGAATAGGGATCATCACGCCGGACGGTTTGCCGTCGATTATTTCGTTGAACAGCTTCAGGAATAACTGGAAAGGAAAAATTCGAAATATTAGACAAGGATGCCACGAAGAGAGACAAAATATAGCATTAAAAGCTGGTATCTCATTAGACGATCCAAAATTTTCAAAATTTAAAGTGCCAATTTGAATTTCGTATACCGGGAATTGCGTAAAAATCATTATCTAATACACAGATATGTAATGTACAAAGCTCCGTTTATTCGAACCTGTTGGTGAACAAGACAGTTTCGATGACCGAATGGTTCAGACAGAAGCTCATTTGTTAGTTTCAGTATAAATGGGATGCATTCATTAGTTTTGATTTTCCAAGCAGCTGACGTTCAAGAAATTGAAATTGTACACGTCAAACTTTTATTATTAAATGGTTCGGATATTAAGATACAATTAGCTACAAATTCATATATTTGAAAACAAACTTGTTCATATAAATGGATTGGATAAACAGAAGTTCTATTGTATGTACGTATTATTCGCATAAAACAATTTTTCATGCTTATTATTATGTAGACAAAATAGACTCGAGCAATAAGATTTCGAAAGGCCTGTCCCTTTAAGCTGAACATCGTTCATCTTTTCTTTTTTCTTTCTTCAACCTGAAGAGAAAATGGAGAGGAAAGATAAACGATGTAAGAAGTTTAACTGAAAAGAACAGCTGGCCTAAAAATTTTCAATTTTTTCAATGTTCTTTATTAAAAATTATTATCCGTTTTCACGTGTGTCAATCTAGTTTTATACATCAAAACATTGCTGAATAATCAATGATCAGGGTAAAAAAATAAGATAAGAAAAATTCTTCAAGTCCACGCACCGTAATAGCGTGAGTAGCCCCGTTCGTGAGGATGATGTTGCGGTAATCGGAAGGGATACCCCCGTCACGATTCTGAATGTATTGCGCAACGTGCTTGCGTATGCACTCAATGCCGACCGCTTCCACGGCGTACGCGCCCACACTGCCTCCATGGCAGTCACCTAGGATTACCCGGGCGCGATCCTTCGCGTCCTCCGGGTAGCTCGGGTCGTCCAGCAGATTCGGCGAGACCGTCAGGGTGAGCACCTGCCGCAGAAACTTGATGGGCCGTTGGCCCATCGCGTGGGCATCCCCTTTGTCCGCCTCGATCACTTCCTTGAAGGGTTTCTTAACACCCTGCAAAGAGAAAAATGATCTCAGATCCAATCGCGATCCACGTGTTTACACTTTTCTAACATTTTCAAACTTTTTAGTGACTATGTGAAAGCTTCACAAATCGAAGTTTTGTGCAAGCAGAGTTCAGAGTTCTCGAAGTTAAATGGAAAGTGAGATTTTTTTATTTACTCAAATCTTTGAGACTTATTTCTGACCTAAAAACCTAAAATTATTGATTAACAAAGCTTATAGTTTGTATGTCATTCATTTGTATTTAAGTCAGTTTAAACAAAATTTTAAACTCATAAATCAATCTCGTAACTGGACAGTATTTTAAGACTTTATTTAAGATGGACATGAAATAAGATCGGAACTGATAATAAATATCGATTTTAGATTTAAAAGGTTTCTACAGTTTATATTTATTACTGCATCAATCATCAATATAATTGCGCAATTAACTAATTATTAATTTAATAATTAAAATAGTAATAAATATTTTATCAAAAGAATAATCGGTTAACATTACTTAACATGCAGAACAAAATCTTTCAAATCTGCAGGTAAGTTTGTATATCAACTGTAGATGTTGTTGAGTAAGATTCGAAACCAACTTTTAGTTTATCAAACCTATTAGCGTTTAAAAATTACATTGCACTTGTTATACAAAAAGATTTTTAAGAAAAAAGTCTATAAAATAATAAATCTATAATAATAAATAATAAATCTAAATAATATAATAATTTTAACTGAGCAGAAAAGTGCTCTACCATTTTGCGATCTATGCAATAGTGATCGAGACATTATAATTTATAAAGATCATCGAATGTGAACGCTCGACGAGTTACGGCCGCCCACCACGGTCGCGGTCGCCTAGCGCGTGAATTATGTCATTCTTATACACTTCGAGTAGGAAGTTTTACACTGGTATAGATATCGTATCTGTTGATCTTTTTATGAGCGTCAGCATTCATTCAAATTCGAGTGACAATCGCAATCACTCTAGCTGATAAATTAGTGGCGAAACTACTCTGAGATTTAGAGAGTAGAAAAATATTAAATAATTTCATTTGTAAAGTATGGAGAAAATCGAGACTGCCTTTTGCACACACAGAGGAAACAATTTCAACCTACTAATTGGATAAACTTTTGCACCGTAAGATTACGTCATCGGCAAGCAAACTGACTGTTCGCATTCGTGAGAAAGCTAATACTCTATCCTACTTTTAAAACGCATCATTAGTGCGCATAAAAAGAGAAATCTTTTTAAGAATTTAGGCGCTCCGATATCAACAGAATCGGTACCACATCTTATCTTGTGCTTTCTTTTCTGCGGCATTTATCACAGATTTTTTCTAATTTAAACCTAGGAACGCGCTTATCTTATCTTTCATTACGAGGAAAATAAAAGCAGAAATAAACGTATACATCGTTCATCGAGCTCCGCTCGCACTTCACAATTAAAATAAATAAATCATTATTTCCTCCCTCCTCCCTCCTTCTTCTCGTTCTTCACGTCCGTCTACCCCTTCGATACTTTTCGTTTCACCATGACACCCTCGCAGCTATCGAGCCCATCCCTTTCTCACTCTTTCTTTCGTTCGCGCCTGTTCGGTTTACATTCGATGTATGTAACTGTTGTGTGCATCTCGCGTCGCTATAAATATACATATATCATCCCCTTTTTTTGGTGCGTGTACTCACTTAATTCTGCCCTATAGAGTGGCGTACCAAAAACTTTTGAAGTTCTCTCGCTCCGGTTCAAGTTTTAGCCGTTACCTTTCGCAGCTCCTTCTTGATCTCCAGCGCCCTGATGTGCAGCGGCCCGAATATCATAAACTCCATTTTACGCAAGTTCACGCAGACGTTGTCCTTAGTGAGGACCTTTCCGCGCGGACTCGCCGCCGCCGCCGCCGTTACGCTCGGTGCCATGTTTCAACGCGGAATAACCGGCTAGGAGTAGCATCAGCGCGGAGGACACCGTCGCGAATTCACCATCCCTATCCCACGGTCAATCAGCCGCCGCTGCCGTCGTCGTCATCGTCCTTATCGGCCAGCCTTATCGGCAATCACGCGGCGTTCACACGCGCGAGTGACAGTTTTACTTTTTTGTGCTCCTCTTCTTCTTACTTCTCTTCCTCGCCTTCTTCCTGAATCCTTTCATTTTTCACCGAAAACAAACCTTCCTGTCTCTGTCTCTCTCCCATTCTCTGTGTCAAATTTGGATCTGCTGGAGCTACATTTATATCTTAAAATGCGATAACTGCTCTCTCTCTCTCTCTCTCTCTCTCTTTCTCTATGACAGATTAGATTGTTATTGGTAAGGATAATTTTGTGCACAGTCATATTATAAGAGCCTTACCTTGCATCTTTCCAATTATTGTCCGTCATTTATTTAATCATTGCTTCACTTTCGAAGTTTTTCCTGATATCTGGAAGTTTGCGATTATTTGTTCCGATTCCAAAATGTAAAATGTTCATCCAGGTACGTGATTACAAGCCCATTTTTATTCTATTCTCTATCTTTGAGAAATTCGCATTACTTTTGACCAGATCAAGAATTATTTGGAGACTTTTCCTGTTTTGGACTCATATCAGACCGTTTACAGAAGGAACCATTTCACACAGACTGCACTACTCTGAGAGTCATGGATCATATCCGACAAGCTGCTGATAAGACAAAGGTCACTATTGCGATGTTCTTTGACTTTATTACATGGTCTTCGATATTCCATCTGTCATCACATATTGATCAACAAATTCAATGACATGGGTTTTTCATCGTCTGTACTCTGCTGGATTTGTGCGTATCTATAGTGTATATAGATTTCAGAACGTGCATGATTCGATCACGAGTGAGTTATCCGATAAGTGACAGTAAGACTGCAGGCAAAAACGTTACATCTTGATTAGAGTCCAAAGAGTTTTACTTCTCATCAGTTACTTACAAACGAAGTTATTATAATCGTCTAGTAATTGCTAAAAAAATATATATAAAGTTTCTACCAGGGATTATTTAAAATTAAAATATCTTACTTATTTTATTATTTTTTTAAATATTTTACTTATAAATTTCAAAGAAACTGAAAAAACCGGGTTGATAATAAAAATAGAATGTTATACACACATTTATGGTAGAACAACGTGTATAATTTTCAAAATATAATACGCAACAAGTTATGTATAAAAAAAGAAAATGACGAAAATATGTCAAGGAGTCTTTATCAATATTCACAATTATAATTTCTTCTTCTTTTTTTGTAATAGGCTCACGGCCTGTTTTTACTCTCATATGCCTATGGTACACATGATGTGATGTATAGGCATGTGGGATCTAAGTAGTGCATTTTGCAACGACGAATGGGATCGCACTGCGCAAGTGTGCTCTCTGGCAAGTTGCTGCAAGTATGCTGCTAGTGTGCTGCATTACTGTTAGATCTGTTTTACAAAATTATTCAAGGCTTTCAAGTAGATAATTCAATAATTGTTTGTCCAAATTTCTACGTTTATAATTATTATCTGATTAAATTTACATATCTCATTTAATAAATATAAATATGAATATAATAAACATAATTTAAAAAATTTTTTTTTTCTTTTAACAGGCTTTAATGAAAAGGATTCGCTGTTGTTTGGTAAATTTAGTGAGGGTTGTGGCTATAATAGTAACGACGGTAAAGAACTCGCGCCGATATTTACACAGTTTATATATACATAGATGCGACGTACCAATTACTACATATTACTACATGTCCATATAAATTTTAATATAAATATAAATTCAATAAATAATATTCCCCCCTGTTAACGTTACGCGATCATGTACATAATTGTTAATACGGCACATTCATCGGAAAATACGGCGAAAGAAAGACAAATGTTAAGGTACTGCGAAACAGTGAAGAAACGTAGCATATATATCAAGCAATATCGTATTATTTAAATTTCATATATTTAACTTTTCTATTCCGAATCGATCGTTACTATCAAAACATTCTTTTCGACTATTATTAAAGAAGCATCACAGTCGTCATCGTTCTCAGGCTTGATATCGGGATCCTTTAAAGGCGGTGTCACATTTTCAGGAGCTACGAAATTGTAGTAACTTTTTAGTAATTATATATACATATCCAACTGCATACAGTTTAACGCAAATAAATTCGCGAGATAAGCCAATAAACGTAGCAGGATCTTGGTGCTTATTAAAATTTCACGTAATTTAATACTGTGATATTGCTATTCTGGTTCAATTAAGAACTGCGTCGAGACCGAAAGTAATGGCATGCAGTTTGTGGAAAAATGTATATAAAAATCACATGAAATTTTAGTGAGCACCTGCAAGATCCCGCTATAATCGTTATAGACGTTATCGAGTAAATTTAATTTTTTAAAAGAATTTTATTGACGAAATTCCAATAGAAATATAATAGAATCTATTGACGAAATATAACAACAGAATATAACGGCAAATTGATAGAGTAGGAATAGATTAATATTTGCCATTTTATAATTTTTTTTAATGATATATTTAACCCTTAAAGCACCGTGTGACTTTTCTTGACGTACGTAAGTGCTCGCGTGGGAATTAATTTGACTCGTTATTTAACGTATTTATTCTTTATGCATACGAAACTTTATTTTTATTTATAAGTAATTATAAACTGCGACATTTTTTCAACGTAAAATAATAATTTTCAAGCATTTAGAAATTAAAAGAAACTCATATTTTTTAATAATATTTTATCACGTAATATGTTGGTTAGTTCAATAAAATTCAATAATCTGCAATTTATGTGGTAAAAACAGACTAAAAATGATCGAATAAATTTTAATTACTATTGTATACTTAAAGTATAGATACACAAAATATATGAGTGTAACTTCAACAATGTGATTGTTTAAAGCTAGTAATATTTCTTAAATTAATTAATTTTATAAGGTTTCATAGCATGAACTAAAAGCCACAATGCAGCTTTCGAAAAAAATTAATTTTCATCTTTAATTTGCCATTTCTTGACCATTGTATGATTTCTTTTACTGTTGCATTTAACAATGCAACAAAAATGTTTTGGCTTCAGAAGAATATATTTAGTATTTACATTAACTAGATTACTTAATAGAAATTTTATAAGCTATTTAATAAAAATAACTTTTACAATACGAATAAAATATTTAATAATATTTTGAATGTCTCTAAATTGAAAAATTATCTTACAGATTAAATATTTTCAAATTAAATCACAGAAAGTTATGTGGCAAACTGCTATAGTTCTATATAATATTTTACTTACGACAAACTGTAGATGTAGATGGAGACCCATTTTCATTATTTTTTCTTTCTTCCAATGTATTACGTATTATATCCTGGAAGTTGTGGACGTTTTTATCCCACAAACGTTTATAAAAATATGCATCTTTATTGTTTTGTTTCTTTTTCAGTTTTTTTGCAATCTATAAATAAAATATTGAAAAAAATTAAATTTATAAGATATTTTAACTTTTAATAATATTTAAAAATGAAACAATATCAGATTCCTGTGTATTTAAGAAAAGTTACAGACAGAATCAGTCTTTCCTAAATACGCATATGTGCATTTAATCCTCCTTTGATTTTACGTTTATTTAAAAATAATATTTGAGTTGGACAATAAAAGGTATGAATAAAATTTTCTTACCGTATGGCATATGGATCCTTCGGCTTTTCTAGTAAAATTAATTTCACTAATATCTGATATCGTCTCACAAATGATTTTTGCTAGAACGTCGATTTTGTGTTGTGAAATGTTTCTAAACCTTTTATTCTTCTTAGGTGGCATTGTCGATGTAGTCGATTGGCAATGAGAAACTACTGTCTTCTACACTGTTTCTGCAAGAGACCGATCTCGAGAAACAACAGTTGAAGGTTAAGAAATAAATAAACGAATCCTCGCGGAGATCGTGCGACCAAATTTTCAAGTTTTCTTCCGTTAACGAGCATTGCCTATGCTACTGCTTTCGAAAGTATCAAATTTGTGAATTAAAGTATAAATAAAATTATAAGATTAACACAAGGAATCATTAATTAATTTTAATTAACAGCAGAGGATTTTATCTATTCACAAATTATTTTTATAAGGTGAAAAATCTGAGAAATCTTTATCATTTGCAAGTGTTCAATTAGACATAAAAACAGCCATTCAAAATTTTTCAATTTATATGTAAAGGTACGCGATAATACTTTTGACTGAACGTAGCAATTACGAATCTCGGACAAACCATTCTTTTTTCTCTCAGTGATCTTAGAAACTGTCGTTGCGCCTGTAACTTTCGATGCAACATATAAAAAGAACAAGTACCAATAATTATAAATCACATATATGTTGTAAACGCTGCGTCTGTGAAGTTAGCACATTTTATTAATTTTTAAAAAACAATATTAGTTTCAGTAGCACTTTCAATAGTTCTATCGTTCCTGATAAACATTAAAAAATGTTCAACATTTTTAATACCAAAAAATAAAAAATAATATGCTATATGCTAACTTCACGTTCCAGCGAGGAACATCTCCCTCTAATCTACTATATGTCATCAAATATTATTAAATCTATTAAGTGTTCTCGTGTTATTTCTTAATTAATTTTATAATTATATAATTTTATCATTATATATCATTACATAATTTTATAATTATGTAACGTTTCAAAACAAAATTGCAAAAATTATTCATTTTTACAGTTCTGATAACCATTGCAGAATCTTATACCCATGGCAGAACAATATTCGACGAAAAGGTGTCTTTTTGGCAATTGTCGATATTTCCGGTAATACTTCTGGCTTGTTTCAATCGAATTCTACGCTAATAAAATCGCGCAGCAAGATTTTCTGCAGGTCTCGCTGAAGGACTTTTAAGAAATTGGATGGGAAAGAATAGAAAATCGCACAAGAAGAAAAAATACGTTTCGACTGCAACAATATTCAAACAATATATTCTCTTTTCTCTTATATAATATTAACTATTATATAATATCGATCATTAATGTTGGTATAACTACCAAAATTATGTGGTATGACTACCAAATATTTACAGATATTCTTCAGCAGTAATTTACATTTACATTTACATACAACAATTTATAGTTTTGTCACGATTTCTACAAAACTCAATAACAATGTCGTATGCGATGATCATCTCATACAACAATTTAGAGTTTCATGTCGATATCTACACAAATCAATAACATGGTATGTAATAGCTGTCTCTCAATATAGTGAGTTGTTCATTGTAATAAAAATATTTCACGCTCGTGACGCGTCCGAACCGAAAATTGGCCCTCACGCGGATATGCACAGCCCCCAGGTCATTTCTCATTGATTCCTACATCTATTCTTTGTAATCTCAATTTTCTTAACCGGAAATATATTATTATTTAACTGTATTCTTTAAGGAACTTGATGTGGAATTGCTTCAGCGCTTCAAGCATCGTTTTGATTTTCTCCTTTTGCGGCAATATCGTGGTCCGGAAGTGGTTCGTGCCGGGTATCTGGCCGAAGCCCGAGCCCGGAATCACGCAGATTCCGGTGCTCTCCAGCAGTTTGAACGCGTAGAAGACGTCCGGTTCCTGGCCCTTCGCGCGCGCCGCCTCCACCGCCTTCGGCGGCAACTTGAAGCGCGGAAACACGTACATCGCGCCCATCGCTGGATTCGCCTGCAACGAAAGAAAAAAAAAACATCGTAGAAATATCGTTCGCAGTTTCCCCGTCGGCTATCCCGCGAAAGAAAAGCCAGTCACCTTGTATCCCGGAATACTATTGAGCGTGTCGACCACGAGCTGCGATCTCTCTGCCAAAGAGCGCAGAGTTTCCTTCTTCTCCTTCTGAAACTGCTCGTACGACGGCTCGTTCGGTCGTGGCGGGTTCACCACGACGTCCATCACGACCTGGCCGAGCACGCTGGGGCACAGCATCGCGGAGATCGACTTCAACAGCACCTTCATCACCTCCGGATCCATGTTGATGATCTCGGCGTAGCCACCACGAATCCCACATTCGCCCATGTACCCTACAAACGAAATGTTTCCGAAAATTCCCGAGAAATCTATTTGTGACTCTAACTTGATAATTCAATATCCTTCCAGATCTAATTGATGTTCTACGTTTTCAATAAATCAACAAATTCGCGACATTTGAGATTTTCAACGTCTCTTGGAAAAATTGTCTCAAAAGTCTAACGTTTTTAAATTGCTTTTTGCGACTCCTAAACGAATTATATCCTGTACTTTCTCGCGCACCTTTCGAAATGGACATAAACGAGGCGAGCTCCATCTTCGAATACGGCTCGCCCATCTCCGTCATGACCTTCTTAAAGGAATGGAACGCGCTGTCTTTATCGTACACGTTGTCCTGATAGACCTCGTCGGCCAGCAGGAACAGGTGATGCTTGTGTGCGAAGCGGATTACATCCTCGATATTCTTGCGAGTCAATACCTGACCGGTCGGATTACCGGGGTTGATCGCCACCAACACGCGAGGGTTGCACGTCGCTTTGGCCTTTTCCAGCGCGCGTTCCAGCTCGCTGATCTCCAGCGACCACTTGTTGTCCTCATCCAGATAGTATCCGATCTGGGTGAGACCGAACTCCGCCAGGGTCGCCGAGTACAGAGGATACTGCGGAATAGGGATCATCACGCCGGACGGTTTGCCGTCGATTATTTCGTTGAACAGCTTCAGGAATGACTGGAAAGGAAAAATTCGAAATATTAGACAAGTATGCGACGAAGAGAAACAAAATGTAGCATTAAGAGCTGATATCCCTTCGGACGGTCCAAAATTTCACAGTTTAAAGTGCCAATTTGAATTTCGTATATTTGGTATTACGTAAAAATCATTATGTAATACATCGATATGTAATGTACAATGCTCCGTTTATCTGAGCACGTTAGGGAACAAAAAAGTTCCGATAACCGAATGGTTCGAACAGAGGCTCATTTATTAGTTTTAGTAATAGGATACACTTATTAGTTCCGATTTTCCGAGCAGTAGACGTTCAGAAAATTGAAATTGTGCATGTCGAATTCCTTATATTATTTAAATAGTACAGATAATAAGAAATAATCAACTACGAATTCGTATATTTGAATCAAAACTTATTGTTCGTATAAACGAAGTGCGGATAAACGAAGCTCTACTATATGTGTTATTCGGATAAAATAAATTTTCGTGCTTATTATTATGTAACAAAATAGACTCGAGCAATAAGATTACACAAGGCTTGTTCTTTTCAACTTAACTTCTTGCACTAGTCATCTTTTCTCTTTTTTTCTCCAAAGGTGGACAGAAAAAGAGAAAGAATGAATAATGCAGGAAGTATGGTCGGCTTGAAAAGAAGAGGCCTAAAGATTTTCAATTTTTCTCAATATTCTTTACTTAATATTATTTTCCTCTTTCACGTGCGTCAATCTATTCTCGCATGACAGAATGTTTGCGACCGACAAGGTCGCCTCGCAAATGATCAGAGTAAACATAACGCGCAGATAAGGCAAATACTTTAAGTCCATGCGCACCTTGATACCGTCCGAAGCGCCGTTCGAGAGGATGATGTTGTGATAATCGCATGGGATACCGCCGTCGCGATCCTGAATGTATTGCGCAATGTCCTTGCGTATGCACTCGATGCCGGCCGACTCCGAGTACGAGCCCACGCTGCCGCCTTTGCAGCCGCAGAGGACCTTCCGGGCGCGATCCTTCACGTCCTCCGGGTAGCTCGGGTCGTCCATCAGATTCGGCGAGACCGTCAGGGTGAGCACCTGCCGTAGGAACGTGATGGGCCGCTGGCCCATCGCATGGGCGTCCCCCACGTTCGCCTTGATCACCTCCTTGAAGGGTTTTTTAGCGCCCTGCGAAGAGAAAAATGATCTCAAATCAAATCGCAATTCACACATTTAAACTTTTCAAACTTTCATTTCCAAAACTTTTCAGTAACTATACCTGTATATAAACTACACAAATCGAAGTTCCGCTGAAACGAAGTTTACTTGAAGAGTTAAACGGAAAAAGTGAGATTTTATTATTTATTCGAATCCTTGAGACGTCTGCGGAAATGCATCTCATTTCCGATCGCTTATAATTCAAGTAGTCGTTTATATTTCAACTGTGTTTCTGAGGAAAATCTTAATATGACATATTTTTAATATATAATATAAATTATATATAATATAGATACAAATTATATATAACATCTTTTATAAATTAAGTAAAATAAATATAATTTTTGCTTATTCAAATATAAATTCAAATACTTGTTTATTTCTCAACTGTTGTTTCTGAGAAAAATTTTAATGTAACATATTTTTAATCTATAGTATAAATTATATAATATAAAATATATATGATATAGATAGATATGAGATAGATTATACATAATATTTTTTATAAATTAAGTATAATAAATATAATTTTCGAACAAATAAAATGTTAAATAATTTTATATATAAAATATAGAAAAATAGAGTAAAATATAGGAAACATTGGAGACTTCCTTTGCCAGAGAAAACAATTAATTGCAATCTGCTAAACTGGCTAAACTTTGCACTACGAGACTACGTCATTGGCGAGCGTTACGCAATTGCGTGTGAAACCGATAGAAACGCGAGAACGTGTGTAACACCGTATCGGTATGTATTACTCAGCGCGTAATTGCATAGATGAATAAAACGCATTTAATTTTTTTGTCCCCTATCGGTCGTTCGCATTAGTGAGAAAGGTTGATGCTTCTGCTTTTAAAACGCATCTTCGGACGCGTGTGAAAAGTGATCTTTTCAGGTCCCGAAATCAACGTAATCGGAACTACGTCTTTTAAGCAGACGTCATCAAAACGTGTGTTTATTCAGGATACATTCTACATCCCGTAAACAACATAAAACAGTTCTGGAAGACTCATCATTTACGAGGAAACGTTATTCCGGATGATAAAAATATATATATATCTCGCTCCCTCCCTTCAACATTTCTCGATTTCAGATATTCAGATTTTTTTTAATAATCAATCTCTGTACTTTGCTTTCTATGAATGCAGTGTGTATATTTCTGTTAGAAATGACGTAGCAGTTTCACGGATTTGATAACGCGATAAGAGGCTACCATATGCGTCCGGTCGTATCATACGTGTTCGTGTATCGAAATAAAAAAGAAAGTTTCTCGCTCAAGGCAATCGACATTGTTATGTTTTCACGTAGCAGACGACATGAATGCTTAAAAATCGAGTGTGATATTACATGGAATAATGTGCCGCGATCACAATCTGTCAAAATATCTAATATACTTCGTGCACCGATACGCGATATAGGACACTCGCGCGTTTATCTTTGCTTGTTGTTATAACGAGTTTAACATCACTCCTTTTTGTTATCGACATTGTTAGGTAACAACAAGCAGTATTTTAGTCAAAAGTTTGTCGGATAATTTGGATAATTATTTTTACGCTAATATAATTAAGATATTCTACACTCAGAGCGCTCATCTATATTTCATTATTTCCAGAAGAAATAATTGAAATAAATATTTATATAGACTAATAATTTAGATATCCTACAAATTCTATGTTCATATAAATTTTATTATTTGCTTTAGTGATAATTTTATGATAAATATTTACATGCTAGTCGTTTTGATACTCACGATGTTCTTTCTTTTTATTAAGATAAATTAGATGAATACTTGGATGTAAATAATTTACAATTAGATATGCATGTTTTACTCTGTGTTTTTTTTTCATTTACTTATTAATTTTATTTTTATATATTCTATTATACATTTTACTAATTTTTCAAATTATCTTCTTTTAATATATTAATTTATTACACGGTTAATTTTTAGAATAGATAAGTCATTAGCTTCTAAACCCATGTTTTTAACAAAATGCAAATTACGCGAAACATAATTCCATAGCTTTAACACGCGATTTCGTATTTAAAATGTGTGAATTTAAAAATAAGACTTCGAATATAGATTCTCCGCCTTTTAATATCGTTTCTATTAATTCCATTACATTTTTGTTTAACGTTTCATCAAATTAAGTGACTTGTGCAATTTTTCAGCGACATTAATCGCAATTTTTTCTCAAATGAACCTGAGTACGCGCTTATCTTATCTCTCCACTGAGAATAAAGTGCACAATTTTAAAACAAACGTATCCGCCGCTGCGTTCGCACTTCACAGTTATAAAGTCTTAATTATCCATTATTTTCTCTCTTCTCCTCCTTCTCATCTTTCTCGTGTCTCCGCCTTTCCGATGGACTTGGCGTTTCACCATGACAACCACGCGTCTGTCACCGCGAGCCCATCCCTCTTCCATCCCTCTCTCGCCCTTCCTTCCGTTCGCGCCAGTTCGATTTACATTCGATATATATATATATGTAACTGCCCCCGCACTCAGCTGTACATCCCTTCTTTTTTTTTTAACGTGGATAAACTCAACCCTCAGAGAGGAGACTTTATTCCACCCTGGAGTGGCGTACGAGCCACTCGCTCGTCGGCGGAGTTCATCGCTCCGGCTCGGGTCGGGTCTAGTCCTTACCTTTTGCAGCTCCTTCTCGATCTCCAGCGCCCTGATGAGCAACGGCCCGCGCACCGCGTACTCCATCTTGCGCAGGTTCACGAAGACGTTGTCCTCGGTGAGGACCTTGCCGCGCGGACTCGCCGACGCCGCCGCCGCCGCCGCCGCTGCGCTCGATGCCATGCCGCGACACGGAATAACCGGCTGGAGTACCATCGGCGCGGAGGACACCGCCGGCGGATCTACCATCCCTACCCCTCGGCCAATCAGCGCCCCGCCACCGCTGCCGGCACTCTGTCTCGTCGCCGCCGCCGACGACGTCGACGACGCCGTCACCGTCATCGCCCTCGTCGGCCAGCCGCCGGCGATCACGGCGTTCCGCAGACGTGCGTGCGACATGATGTTTAAGTCTAGTCACCCTCCTGTGCTCCTTTTCTTCTTCCTTCCCTTCCTCGTCTCCCTCCCTTTTCCACTAAAGAAAGGGAACCTTGGTACTGCTGTCTCACTCTCTTTCCCTCTCTCTCTCTCTCTCTCTCTCTCTCTCTTTCTCTCTCTCTCCCCCTTAATCACCGATTGATAAGTGTCACTCGCGCGTGCGCTTTTTTCCCTTCCGTCCGCGTTTTTTCCTCTATCTCGCGCCGCGCTTATCGCCGACCGCGAGCGCGGAATTCCTCCGGAGTCGATCTCGCTCCGATGCGACCGATCTTTTTCCTCCGCTCCTCGACTCCGCAGAAATTACGCGTGGCGGGCTTCGCAGGGCGCGCGCGCGCGGAATCGAGGAGGAGAGCGGATGGGAATCACGCACGCACACCACCACGTTGCTCGACGTCCAGACCCAGCGTATGCCGCGGACTGCCGTCCGAGGAGCGGTGGGGAAAAGACGGTGGCGAGGTAAGAGGAGGAGTTCGTGCCGAGCCAACGATCCGCTGACGGCGGAGACGAAGTTCGATCCAAGCGTCCACGCCACCTGGGGACGCGCCGATGACGTCAACGATATCCCGGGGCGACGGAGAGGATGACCCGCGCGAATACGAACGGTCCGGGTGGAGCGACTTGTTTTCCTGTAAAAAAAAAAAAAGAAATAGATTGAAGCTCGATTCGACGTTCGATCGCACTTTCCCGCGTATCTGAGAAGTCCCGCTTTCTAGAATCTATTATTAGAAATTGGATCAACCGCGTTTTTTCCCGGAGAGTCAATGGACAGCAGACAGATCAGAGTATCTACTCAGACAACACAAAATTCAAAATGAAGACACAATATGTCTAAATCCACTTGTTAGTTGTAATTTTCCCACCCACCAATATAACTATAACACGTGTTATATTATAGTTATATTGAGTGAGAAATTACAACAAGTACGTTACATGTAATTTATTGGTGTTTGCTGGGAAAGATGAAAGACACATTTGTGAGAAACGTCTAAAAGACGCGTCTTAAAGATGTTGTAAATGGCGATTTTATACTTTGTGTTATCTGGTTTATGAGTTGGTTTATTCAAAGATGAAACAATCGGCTCTAATTAGCGATAAGCAGGGTTACCTACTCATAAAAACTGACAAGATTATTATGTTAATTATTACGAAGATCGTTTCACGGGGGATTCGCGCGATGGTCAGAGCTGTACATACAATGCAATGCAATATCGGTTTTACGATCCTCCATTATCATGTTTCGTAGATGTGCACATACGTATTTACTTATGCGATGATATTCGAGTTTTATTTCCGCGCTTCCATTGCTGTCATTTGCAACTTGATCGTTCACGCGATCGCAATAATAACGATGCAGTAATACTGCTGCGAAAAAGTGCAATTTCGCAGCAGTATTATTGCAGCGATTTTACTGCATCTTAAGTGCGTACGCTTATTTTAGCAAACATCAGTATAATAACTCGAGAAAACCGCACGCATTTTGCAGTCACACATTTAGACGCATTTATACTCGTTTAGCTGTGGAAGTGGGGAACATTGAATTGTCATGTAAATTTATACAGGCTCGAAGCCGAGCAGCCTGTAATAATAACTCGACGTAGAAATAACTGATTTTGGTACGCTCTGTACCAAGATATTCATATCTGGTGTAGCGTTAAAATAAATGCAAGACAATGTATTCATTGTTCTTATACATTTGAAGTCGTCTTAAGCTTAAGATTCTTAATTCCATTCAATAAAATAATAAAAATAATTTATTGCGTGTATATACGAGGTGACAGTAATATTTTACAGGGCAAGTATGATGGAGGTGTACCCCGCAAAAGATATTAAGCTGAGGTGTCAGTAAGGCTGCTATTTCGATGCCTATCAGAAATTAAAAAGAAAGAAAATAAATAACCTAAGTATAGAAACAAAAAGTCACGATGACGACCAAAATGACTCCAAGGTGATTATTAAAAAGTCGACTTTTCGATTAGTCACATTAGATTCATTTTAACATTATTTTCACTGCACATTATCGTGACTTGTAGTTATGTTTGGAAATGTGATTAATGTGGTAATTTAAAACGGAGTATGAACAAAACAAAATATGGCAAACACGATGAACTAAATGCAAAAGAAAGAAGCGGGAGATGTATTTAATATAAAGACGGAACGCAAATATCATTATTAAAGACATTCGGTTCAGAGTATAAAATTTAAAACAGACAGAATAAAGAAAAATGATTATTCAAATAATGACATATTCTCGAAAAGAGATGATATGAGTATACCTACCTGAGAGTGCCTGATGGAGATGACTTTAAATATAAAATATCGGATTACCGTGCACAGAAGAGAGTAAAATGAGAGAGAAATATACTTTCGGAATTTTTTCGACTGTTCGTCGAATGGAAAGTCCTAATACTGTACTCACTAACGCATAAATACACTACGCACTTTTACGACGGTCATTTCGCGCGGCGAACGCTTTGCGGAAACAGCATCTCGCGATAATTACGGCAAGTCCAAAATTGCCAGAAGGTCGCGCCGCGCCGGCCGGAACGTTTCGCAGAGGCGCGAAAAGTGCGAAACGAGTTTCGCGATGGCACTGGATCGTCTCTCCGAAGATCAGCTTCGTAGCGATGAGAGAGAACGAGCGAGCGATCCGCAAAGTGCGCTTGCGCGCGCGCACATGTTGTTTCTTCTAATTGCCTTGTATTTTCTTTTTGCGAATCGGCAACTCGACGAAATCAATAACTCTCGAAACGAATTCAAAGAGGGTGGCGATGGAAAAATCATGATTTGTGTGATTCACCTCGAACGTAAGGTCGCATTTAAAATTAACTTTGCCATTCGCAAACTTCCTCCCGTACCTTTTCGTACTCCTCGTTAATGCATTGCTCTTTTATCTCGTGGTTTCTTTCATATTCGATTGTCAAATCTAATTTTTTCAAGAGATTAAAAATAAGAGAGAAACACAATGTGACCAAAAAAAATGGAAATAGCGGTTCATAGACAGAGTCTACATATTCTTCTTTTCCTTCATTTTTCTTCTTATCATTCCGTATTGCGTTAATGGTATTGCACATTGATTATCAAAAATATTGCAGTCATCGCAAAGACAAATTACAGTAAGTTAACATTATAACAAAAACATCCAAAATATATACAGAATAGCTACGAAGTATTCGAAAAGATTTTAAAGGGCGTTTCCTCACGCAAATTCAATGACGAAACTTCATGTGACCGTATGTCCGAAATGACTTAGTTTCAAAGATACCCTGCTTATTCTTGAGTCTGTTCCTGATTAAATAAAAAATAATGTATAGATAAGATAATCCTTCTGAAAGATAAGCCTTCATGTCTTTCAAACATGTATGTACAAAGTTTCATTAAAATAACCCAAGTGGTTTTTGATATTTTTTGAAAAACCGATATTTTTCCTTCAACTTTGACATCCTGCATCTTTGAAACTTGTAACAATAGGTTGTTTCAGACATATGTTCCGACTTTGTGCTGCCGAATATATATTATACATATACATGTATATTTTGAAGTTTTTTATTACATGTATGTACATATAACGCGGTTGGATACGTGTGCATGTGTGTGTGAGCTCTATTCACTTACGATGTATTTTTGAAATTTTTTGAAATTTTTATAATGCACATTTCGGATGCAAAAAAAACGAATATAATTTAACAAGGCTGGGAAAAATAAATTTTGCGCTAGTGCAGTGCAATAGAAAATCCGGAATCGTCAGAACTACCGAGAGCGATCGCCGAGAGGTCACGGTCTCTGTACTATGAACATCAAACAGTCGAGCCTTTTAAGTAAAACTCTATGGAGCGACTTAAGTAAAACTATGAACCGATAATCAAACACGGCCCCTTCGCGACTTTATCTCCCGTCTAGATGATACAAGTTGCGAATATTAATCGCGAATAACAAGATACGCGCCGTACGTCAGAAGCTCGTCGACGTGACAAAAATAATCCGCGTGCATGCGTGGCTCTCGTCAGCATTCGCGGACAAACGAATTCAACGTTCGTCGATCGTGAACGCGTGTCGATTGACGATCAATATTGTATCTCGCGTGTTCCGGATCCTTCGGATTTATCCGTCAATCTTTCGAGCGACATGTGACGGGCATCCATGGTCAAATCTTAAATAGAGTTAAAATTTTATAATAAAATAATAATAATTCAACGGCTCAAACGATTAAAAATCAAATCACGTTAAGATCGTAGAAAAATTTAATATTTATGTATTAAAAATTAGCGATTAATTATACTTACTTTGAATATTAAAAACACTATCGTTAATGCTTTTGATACCCAAAATAGATAATTAATCACTAATCAATTTTTAATATTTACAATATAAAAACTATAAGAAATATAAAATTTTTCTAAATGAAATGTTATCATCCAGCTCGTATGCTTCATCTTGTATTTAATTTCTTACGTATTCAAGATTATCCATAGCCTCGGATAGTCTCTCTCAAGATTCCGTCCACATATTGCCGCCAACGAAAATGACCGTATAACATCTCGAGCTATATAAATACCGTTCGTAATCCACGCTCCGCGCGAAATGTTCGTCGCGGAACGTGAAGGGCGGTCGAAGGGTTCATTAACGCCACGTAATATTACCCGACGAGGTGATGACTCACCCTTCCCCTTCGACGAGGAGCTCCTCTCGCTATCGGCTGCCGACGCTCTCACGCACTAACTGCCGCGATCCCGCATTTCCGTTTATCGCTCCTATCATATTTTTAGCGTGTGCATTACGTAAGTTCACGTGGGTGAGCAGGTAGTCGGGACACGCCCCCCTCGCCCGCCCGCGCCCTTGGCCAGAAAACAATGCATTGCGTTTATGCGACACACCTTTTCTGTGAGAGACATACGAGAAGCGATTTGCAATTGCGAATTCGATTCCGATCAATCTTGACCTTCCTTTAACGCACGATATAACGACGGTGTAACTGCGCGGTGGACTTTGACTTGTGAAGAACGCCTCGGATTGATTGCGGAATATTGAATCACTTTTTTTACTTACGAGAAATCTTGATGATACAAAGCTTTATAATTTTTAATACCAAATATCTCAATAAGCGTCACGTAAAAATGCCATTTGCTTGAAGAATAAAAATTTTGTTATTCATATATAGCTAAATGTACGAAATATTTTTCATCTTTATAATTGATTGCAATTAAAAAATTATTATTAATATTGATAATTTATTAATTTATTATTAATAATAAATTTTATTTAATTTTATTAATTTATTATTAATAATAATATATTATCATTATTAATTGCGCTCCAATATATAATATATCGATAAACAAAATTAATTGGCAAGTGACCAAAAGATCAAAAAGAAAAGATGTTAAACTGTTTTCGATCTTCGCGCGGGAAGATAAGATAATCAAAATTGATTAATTATCTTTTATAAATTAATCATAACTATAATAAAATTTTCTTTGCCAACGGTAGATAAACGGGAAGTAAACGATAACGAGTGTTGACAAAACACGAGAGATAGCAACATCTGTCTGATTATTCAAACGCGTGTTTCGCAGAGAAATTTGTTTTTTATGTTATGTTTTTAGACACCAGCTGGACGGAACTAATTTTTAGAACTCCGTATACTACCTTTTGTAAGAATGAAAAAAAGGATGTCTCTAATCGCTATGTTTAGCATACGAGACGAGAACCTTAAAGCGTGAACGACGGACATTACCAGCGTGTCGTAAATGAAACCGAGATTGCCTGTTTGCCTACACTTTCCGCATTTAAAATGAAATATGCAGTATTTTTGGTTTTTCTGCGACAGAAAAAGAGGCGAGAAAAACGCGCGGGTGAAACGAAGGAAATCTAAAGACATGTGCAAAGCGCGGCGACCTTCGTCTTTTCGGAAATTTTTATTATTTTAATGTTTACATTTTTATATTATAAGTTATAATATTGCAGAGATATTTAGTTGACAGGTTTGTAAGATATTCCCTAAATTTTAACGTTTCTCACGTAAATCAAATCTGCATTGCTTTCAAACCGGTTTAATGTATGAACTATTGTGAGCTACCGTTGTATGTTGCGAGGAAATAATTTTTCATTTTGCCTGACGTTACATAATGTAATTACTGATTACTTACTAACAAAGAGGGTTCTAATTCCGACCATGACATGTAATAAATTAACTGATTGTCTTTTTTTATTAATAACTTTTGTAATTATTATAATTATACGTGCAAATTCTGGTCGAATGGTTCTCATTTATTTGATCTTTATATCATTATAGTTTTCATTTAAATCTCAAAGAATCTCTTCTCTAATAATTTTTTATATAAACTTATCTCTTTCTTCACATGTGTTTCTAAAAATTCTCAATTTTTATTTTCACGCAGCGGAACGCTTCCAAGCGATTAGATTGCACCTAAAGCTTTCTGAATTGTACTTATAATATCTCGGAGTTGAATAAAATTAAAAAATATATATATATATAGATTTCTCACTAAAATCAAATCTGCATTGCTTTCAAACCGGCTTAATGTATGAACTATTATGAGCTACCATTAAATTAAAAAATATATATATATACAGATTTCTCGTCGCCATTTTTTCGGTCCTTCAATTCGGGATGTCTTCGCTGGTGACAAGTGCGACTCGCGCGACGCACCCTCAACGGGATTTCCCGTTGCGCGCGACGCAAAAACTTCTCGTTCTCCCGCTAACAGCTTAACCCGCTGCTGATCGCTATTTTTGGCACGGCGTACGTGCTTCTGCCGTGCCAAGTTCGCGCGCGAGTCGCGGAACGTTCCGCTCGTTCTCAGCCGCGACGCGACAAATGCTCGCTTACGAATCGAGAGACAGTTTCGCGGCCGCAAGATTTTATCCGACAACATCTCGTATTCGAGATTCCGCGCCACCTCCGCGCGATTTGCATCCTTTGAAATATAAATATAATTTTTAATTTCGATGAAATATTCTTCCCCCGAGGGAGAAACTATGTAACAACCGAAATGCAAAGTTTTCCATGAAAATCGAAATTTTATTTCGGTGCTTTCGCGAATGAAGCGTGCAAGAAGAGAATATTTTTTTTATTTCATCCAATTGCAATTGTAAAGACATTCCTATATACATATCGATTTGCACCAACCATCGCATCTTTATAGCGACTGCGCTGTCGCACACGCGAGAAAATATCAACATTTGCAGATGACTAAGAATGTTTTCTTTCCGTGCCGTATGTACGGCCGTGGGAAAGTCCCAGATGACAGCTGAAATTGTATGCGTCAAATGCAAACAATTCGCAAGAATTTGGCAGTGAACGTGACAACAGCTGCTGTACGGCGGATGTTGTTGCTAGCAGGTCATTGGTACCCGTTGGTCCCGAAACTCCCAAAGTTGCGCGCAAATCCGCACAAAACCAAAAAAATTCACCCCCCATCGAGCGGAGTGAAATTAGTGGCGGTATCGATAGCGCGCTATTATTTCTTTCGTGCTCTTGAATTACTTCTCTCGATCGTTGAGAGAGATAGAGAGAAATTACCTAAGCAGAAGAAATAATCGTCAAAATGATTATTAAAAGTCACTTTTCGATTAGTCACGATTCATTTTAACGTCATTTTGATATTATCGTGACTTGTTGTTCTGCTTGAAGAGTGTCTAACATGTCTTGGATATTACACTCTTAAGTACTCAACTGAAGAGACAAACAAACGTGTGATATTGAGAGTCACATTATACAGAAATAAAAAAAAAAAGAGAAAATATAAAATATATGTACATAAGAATAACGAACGATGTGATCGTGACGCACGATATAAGAATGTAAAAATTTGTTAAAAGATATTTTTCAGTTTGATAATTACAGAATATAACGTTCATATATGAGAAACTCCATTTTACATAAATAATTTGAAATTATCTATTCAGATCAGATGCGCCACTTTCGGTCCAGGGGAAAAGAACGAAACGTTCGTAAGATAGAGCAGGCTTTGTATTTTCACTGATCAATCTCGTAAAATATAGTCACACACTTTCATCGTATATGTATACCTATATATTATTTTTCAACTATCAGGCGCGCTTCTTTCATTCTCTCTCACACACACACATACACATCTTCTCTTATCTCTCATATCAGAAAAAATACAAAATTTCCGACTGGAAAATGGTGTCAGTACAGATATGCGAACGAAACGTCGTATAGACACAAGGGAGAGAACAGAAGGTGAAGATAAACGAAGTATCACACGTGAACGAGAAACCGAAAAAAAAAAATGCGTTGCCCTTGTCCGTCCCCCGTTTCGCGACTCCTCCGTAAAAGGAATAAGTTAGAAGGACAAATTTCCTTGAAAAACTTCGAAATCTCCCCCCCCCTCCGTATATACTTTCGAATACACTCAAGGCTCCAATCTCGGACGATTCGAATGGACTTTTCTCGCGTATCTGAAACGCTTCGAGAATTCTAAACGGACGCTAAATCTGGAGCGCTGTATACAGGGTGTCCCGCGACAAATGGATTCTGTGACGAGTACAAAAAACTAATTTTTTCTAGCAAAAACGTGGGCGATTTTTTTACCACTTCATAATTTTCATAAATAAGTGATATATGTTTCTCTTAGTAATCGTACCTATTAGAAAGAGAAATGTGTTTTACAGGTGCTACAAAATCTATTCTTTACAGCTGAAAAATAGTGTACATTCGTTGTATGTACTTGAAAATGAAATAGACATATATTTGAAGTTTAGCAAAGCAAGAAAAATTTTTTTCCTTTTTTTCTAGCTTATCTCAGGTCAGTTATGATCTAATTTCAGGACATCCTTTTTTTTCATTTAGGTAGAGAAGGTAATAGATAATCAAAGTTACTTTTTTTTTCAAATTTAGTACAACACTAATCGAAACGCGCGAGGAACAAATAATTTTACGCCTGGATACTTGGGTGTGGACTTGCAAAATCTAAAAAGTTAAAAGAAAAAGAAACTAATTGGATCGATGCGCCTGGGCGGCATCAATCACGCACAAAAATCAATGAACACAGGTAGCATTCTTTTGAATTTCTCCTTGCTTGAACATTTGTATTTTGAGTTTTAGCAAAACAAATTTGAATTTCGATTTTATAATCTATATCTATGACATCCGGAATCTCTTCCTAAAAATAGAAATTTTTCCAGAGCGTTGCGTATAAAAATATTTGACTGGTTCGCGCGCGGAGAATCAGAGTGCAATCTGTGTTTATACAACAATCGCTTACGATGAAAAATTTATATTTCGGCGACTTTCCAAGCGCCTGTTAAAAGAGAATTTTAATTTGCACTAAATTACGCACGCATAAATTTTAATAATGTACATACATACGTCGGCGGAGCACGTCTCGATGACAAGTTTTCGGGAAAGGTGAGAAGAAATGAGGGGACGACTGTTGCACACACGTCGGTGTTCCCAGCGGATAATATGTTCATGACTCCAAAGTTTTGCATATGCGCTTGCCTCGTATATACACATCCGCTGCCACTTTGTATCCGCGGCAGATGTGCGCGCGCGGTACGCAGAAAATTATTAGCGTCAACAACAAACACACTCGCGGACGCGAGATCATCTCGCGGGCAGACATACAATAAATTAGAAATCAATATTAACTTATCGTCATCATTGTCGTCACGTGCGCGCTCCACGCTCATGCTACAACGTCGTTTTATATGTACCTGCCAAACAGATCGATTTTTGCTGCACCATGCCGTGAGAGAACGAAAAATATGAGGAAAAAAAAACTTGAAATTCCGACTAACAAAGTCCGATTCGCACACTTTGTGCACTGTTTTATAAATATAATCTTTTCCTGCAGTTCTACGGACTTGTGGAAAACATTATGTATTTCATTTACGTGTAATCGGTAATTTTCCTGCTGAATGACGCCTGCGGCACGGCATTACAATGTGGCAAATTGGTCTGCTCGGCAGATGAATACATAACGAAACTACGTCTGTCCTTCTGTAGAATGTCCTCGAACGTTACGCGCTCGGACTCGCGATGAGACTTTTTGAAATCTTTTCCGCGCGATATTTCGGAGTCCGGACGCGGACTCCATTTGTCTCACAATCATTTCACGAACTCGCAAATCATAAATAAATTAAAGAACAAAGGTGAGGATTATACATACGTATCGTCGACAGAGAGAAAAATTCGCTCGCTGCGCGCATTCCTACATATATAGATTCTTTCCTGGCGTTGAAAAAATATATAACGGAACACGCGGATGTGCGGCCGCTTAAGAGGTTCGAATCGAAGGCCGTGTCTCCCGGGAAGCCGTCCGAACTTACGGATCGCGGTTATACCGCGCACCCAGCTCGCTTCCGGTCTCGCTCGTGATTATTCTACAAAAGAGGAAAGGCCTCGTCCTAAGGCAATGACGAGTGATTCGCGGGGATTCGAAGGCTTCGTTGCTCGGACGCGATTAGACTTGACTCCTCTGTAAGTTCGGGAACTCGGAATAAAGTAAGAAAAGGTAGTGGAGCGTTCAACGTCCTGATACGAGTCGGTCAAGCCACTTCGCAGTGTCAGTGCGACAATTCGATGTCCTCCGAAGAACTTCTTCGTTTTCCATCACCCGGCGTTCCTTCGCGGAAACTCGTATTTCTATAGTCGATTCTTGTTCCTATACGACCCACGAAATTCTCTCTCTTTCTCTCTCCCTCATTCGCCGACTCTCGTCGAGTCCACACGTCGTGTACACGTTCGACTATATGACACGTTTCTTCAGCGTTCCGTTTTTTTTTCTTTTACTTCGCGCTCTCCGTCGGCGGTGGCGGCAGCGGGATCGCTTGCTCGGACACCGGCTGCTGCTGCTGCTGCTCCTTCTTCTTCGTCTTCTTTGCCTTCTTCTGCAGCTTCGGCGACTCCGTCGAGCCCAGCTGGCCATCGATCACCTCCGTCGCTTCCTTCGCTTGCTGCTTCGACGGCGTCGCGGGTTTATCCTCCGTTCGCGACACGTCACCGTCCTTCTGCCGTTCTCCATCGCTCGGCTTCGATTCCTTGCCCGTTTCGTCCGCGCGTCTCGTCGATTCGTCCGTCAACGCGACGGACTGTTCCGTATTTTCCGAAGTTAGATTTTCCATTTTCGGTTGGCCGGCGGCGATAACGCTTTGATTCGCGGATTCGACAGCCGTTGCCGTTGCACTTTCACTTTCCGAGGATTCCACTTTCGTCTACAAAAAAAAGGAAACAACATGCCAAAATAATAAAGATAACTCGTGATAAATATTACCATTGTAAAAATAAAATTGTTCTAAACAAAAAAAAAAGATAAATAAAAAGGGTAGTTTGGAAGATAAAACAAATCAGAATAAAATTTCCTATACAGTTTCTGTAAAAGTGTCCCACGCGTTTTAACGGCACTGTCTTAACACTCGCGGTCTCTCACCTTCGTCGGTGACGATGGCGCCGGCGGAAGCGGTATCGGTTCGTTACTGTGCTTCTCTTGCTTCGCGTCTGTCTCCATCGGCTGGGGTACGTGCGAGATCTCTTGTCCCTGTTGATCCTTCTCAGCGCACTCCTGAATCTCCTTATGCGCGGCGGGTTGTTGCTCCTGCTGGCTGGCGATCGGTGTCTTCGTCTCCAGCAGACCGATGGTGTCCTGTATGCTCTTGATGGCGTTCCTACGCGCCTGCCGCACGTTCTCCCGACCTTCCGTCTCTATGTCGTCCAGCTTGATTAATTCGCGCGTCAGCATCTCGTCCAGATAGACGTACTCCTTGTCTTGCCGGGAGCCGCCGACGTAACGTCGCACCTGCTCGGCCAGATCGTCCACTTCCTTCTGCACCTGGGCGACTTTCTCCAGGGGATCCTTTGGCACCGGGGGCTTTGGTTTCGGCGTTTCTTGCTGTTGCTGCTGCTGTTCCTGAGGTTGTTGAGACTGTTGCTCCTGGTATTGCTCCTGATAAGACTGAGGTTGCTGACGCTGTTGATATTGCTGCTGATACTGGGGCTGATGAGACTGTTGCTCATGAGGTTGATATTGGGACTGCGGCTGATAATGGTATTGGGGTTGCTGTTGTTGCTGCCGTCGCATCGGTTGCTCAAACCCTGCCGGCTTGTAGAACTCCTGGAAATGCGACGGTGGCCACTGCTGCCGACTGAAGCGCTCGTTGAAGTGCGAGGGTCTGTGGAAGTGATGCGCCGGCGGCGACGATCTGTCGAAGTGGTGGGCCGGCGGCGACGGCTGTCGCTGATGGTGATGCTGGAAGGTGGACGACGGCGCGTCGTCTGTCGCGACCTTCGGTATCACCGGCGTGTCGCGACCCTCCACGAAGATGGGGATGTGTCGGACGTTGCTGGCCGGTTTACCAGGCGACTGGGCGCGTTGCTGTTGCTGATTGTGCTGCGGCGTGATATCCACTCGGGACACGAATCTCTGACCTTGGCCAGGTTGTGGCTGATCTTGTTGCATCTGCTCCTGTTGCTGCTGCTGCTGCCAGCTCTCCGGCGGTGCCGACATCGAGCGCTGGCCGCGCTCACCCTTCTCCGGACTCGTCTCCATGTCGCGGCGTCGCTGCTGCTGGCCTATGTCCATCGTGTTACGTAGACCGTACTGCGGTATCGCTGACGATGACGTCAGGTCGTGCTCGCCACCGCCGCCGCTGTGCGAGCTGACGGCACTGGCGCCACTCGCGGCACTGCTACCACTCGCCTGGCTACGCGCGTCCTCGTCCTGATGCTGCTGACCTTGTTGCTGCTGCTGTTGCTGCTGCTGCTGATCGTCGTTGTTGCTGTCACCGGAACCGCGGCGCCGACGGCGGCGGTCGCGCAGTAGGGAGCCGCTGAACGGCCAAGGCGGACCGCGCAAGTGCTCAGCGAACTCGGGGTGGCGCGCCGCAAGGTCGTCCAGGTGCGCGCGGATACCGTTGCCGCGCGGACGTTCGAAAACGTCGGCGTCGTCGTCGAACGGGAACCCCTACGGAGGCAGACAAAAATTTGATAAGACCGACGTTCAATTACTGATACAGTGACGACTAGACGATTGGCGTGATCACATTGTGACCTAGACAGTCTGACAGGTGTTTGACATGTGCGAGATAAAAACGTAAGGTTAAAAGATGAAAAACAGTTTACGCAATATTGAATTAATCGATCAAAATATGGGTCTCTTCCACCAACAATCGTGACGAATATCTGAATACAAGCAGTGTTCAAGAAAATGTTTAATCTGGAAATAGGAAACATAAAAGAAAGAGAGAGAAAGAGTGAAAGAGAGACACGTTCATTGACCCTTCATATACTCTAGCGAATTCGCTTGTCCTACACGCTGGTGCATTATTATATTTATTATATACAGAAAGTTATTTTTTAATAAGAACAAAATATAATTGTTATCGATAAAATACTCAATCTTAATATTATCACATTTTTAACAAAATGTATGTTGAATATATTTTATTTCTAATATTATGATTTCTTTTGTATTTAGTTCTTTTAATTTTGCCTAGCAATCTTTATGTATATACGTGAACAGAATCAATGCATGTTCGCCGAAATCGTTATTAGGAAATCGGTTGCCGGTGCACGCGAAGGCCGCTCTGCATGAAGTTATCTGAACGCGATCCATTAGCGTGCACCTTCAATGCGAAGCAGTGTGGGTACCAATTCGGTGTATTTTTTACTTACGCCGGGTTCATATTCCCTAAAGAATTAAGGGTGATCTCGATCAAATTTCGATTAATTTAATCGGCTTGGTTAACTTAGCGAGCAGTATTATTTCGTTAATGTGGACAGACTAATTAAAAAAAATAAAATATACTTAAGTTCACTTATACGTAAACATTTTGAGAAATCAGAGAAATAAAATAACTAAAAATCTTTTAGAGCCGAGGCAGATTAATCTGTAAGTATATTTATATAAGTATTGTTGCAATTATATAGAAATACATATGTACAGTTGGCGCAAACGTTTTGATTCTCATCAGCACGAATTTATAAGTTTCAGTTGGCGATTTATGTCAATATATCTATATCAGGTAAATTGCCAGAATTAAAGTCTGAATATTAGATCAATATAGTGATCGAATAGATAGTCCAAATATAAATTATTTCAATATTACTTCAATATTAATATAATTTCAATATATGTATAAAACTCATCAACGAGAAAGATTGGTAGTCACTTCTCACCTCATTCACTTTTATGTTTGATCTGTTCGACCACTGTGACCTATAATCGGATTTTAATTTTGACAATATCGGGGAAGTGAATTAGAGCTTGCCAATAGTGGTATTAATATATTGATATAAGCCGCCATTTGAAATTTATAAATTCGCACTGACGAAGACCTAAACCGATCGAAGTATTTACTCCAACTGTATGTACATACGTTGCATATTTCTAATTGTAACAATACACACTTGCGCACCAATCCGTGTCGGCTCTAACATGCTTTTAATTACTTACAACGATTAACTTCTTGTTGTTTAATGCTTGAAAAGAAAGATTTAATTAGGGACGACAAATTATATAATAACTGGAAATTTTTCAATAAGCAATTCTGCTAGTTGAATTAATTACTAATCGAGTTAATTGGAGTTTGCTCGAAGTCACCCTAACGGCGACAGTCATTCGCGCGTTCAGTCGTATATCGACTATACGATCCGGCGAACGCGAGCAAGGGCGCTGAAGGGGAAATTCGCGTAATCGGGCACGAGGTGACGAATCCTCCTTCTCCTCCCTCTCCTCCTCCCCCTCCTCCTTCTCTTCCTGCGGCGAATCGAGGTCGCGTCGTCGTTCCACTTAGCGCCGACCGACGGGCGCACGTTTGTAAGAAAACCATACACGGGACGCATACGGGAGAGGAAGAAAGAGAAAATGAGAGAAAAATGGCGGTGGAAGGGACGGAGTGAGAGCGAGAGCGAGAACCGGGAGAGCCACTTATACACACGCACCTACGCCCGATAATCGGATTTTCCTATTTTCGGCCCGGCTGGCCCTGGCACCAGCAGCACGCCACCGCCGCGTTAACTTTTCGCCTGTCAACCGCGAAAATGACCCGCAACGCGATAACATCGCGATCAGATACGCATTCTCTCTCTTTTTGTTTTAATGATAAATTTATAGTGACAAACATGGATTTTTGGCGCACTAAATGTGCGATGATTGATGTCCAATTCTACTAACGTAAATCATTTACTTTCTATATGTTCTTCTACATGTTCCGAAGAATTAGAAAAAAGATAAATTAATTTACACTGGTAGAAATGGACCTTAATTCTGCGTCGCTTGCTTATAATCGAACGTCGTCTGGCGTCTTCCAGTCGAAATTATTTTAACGCGAGAGGAAAAGGGAAATTCATTTTCTCCCCTTTTCACTTCCTTCCCCCTCCTCATCGCGCTCTGTCAAAGGTTTCTTTTATTTCCACCGGGTGATATCATACGGGGAAACGGTCTCGCTCGGTCTCGTTTCTTTTCGGTTCCTTCGGCGCTCCGTCTTCGTTGGAGCACGCGCAAATACGCCCACGCGCGCACGCGAGCCATCCGCGTCGCGTTCCAGAACGGCGAACGTCTCCGCCGCCGCGCCGCGGGGAAGAAACGTCATTGGGAGACGCGTAAGAGCTATAGAGCTGCAGAAAAGAGTCCGACCGTAATGAAGTAATCCCCCTCCTCGTCCTTCCCCTCCCATCCCGTACGACGTATACATGTAACATCGGCGATCTCGATACCTAATCGCACGCCGCCGCGGTATCGAGCGCGTAGGAAGGTATCTGATAACGTGACCGGCGTGACGTCACGCCGCGCCTTTTGACGTAACATTACTCGCCGTGTCGTTTCGTTAAGCCCGTATCGGCAGACCAGAGATCGGAGACTGTATGCATCGCAGGAGATATGCGAATTCGAGATTATAAGGACCGCGAATTGGAGATTGGAATTCGGCCAATCGGAACGGAGCGGGCTGGGAGTTAAAGTTGGTCGCGAATTTCAATTACTAATTCGCGCGATCCTCGGATCTCCAATGCGCGGTCTGATGCAGGCTTTATCGTTAGTGGTATCGACCAGGATAATAACGACGTCTACCTCCCCTCCTCCCCCCTCCCCTCTCTCTCTCTCTCTCTCTCTCTCTCTCTCTCTCTCTCTCTCTCTCTCTTCCGAGGCGTCTAAATGGGTCTCGTGACATCACGACCGCTGCGTTTGACAGTCACGCAACGCGATCGTTCACGCGATAATTCGATGATACATCGATACGAATGTCGGGCTTCTTTTCGTCGCGTTTGTTTCGCGAACACTCCGTATTGTCGAGATATCAATTAATAAGTTAGCAATTTTCTTGCGACAATAACAATAATGGAGAATTCTCGGAATGCTGCCGAGACCCGAGACCGAGCGAGATCATTTCCCCGTATATCATCCGGTGAAAATAAAAGTCTTTGATAAGAGAGAAGAGGAGGGGAAGGAAGTGGAAAGGGAGAAAAATGAATTTTCCCCCTTTTCCTCGAGACTGCGTCAAAATAATTTCGACTCTCCATTGCGCGACGGCATATCTCGATCTCTCTTTCTCTTCTACATATCTTCTCTCGTCTTTTTTCTCGCGAACGACGCGTTCTGTCGCGACGCGAAAAATACTACGCGCGCGAATGCTATTTCTGATTTCCACGCGATCTCTCGAAACGCGGAATGCGCGGAGCAGCGGCGTGAGGGTGGGCGGAGAGCGAAGAAGGAGAGGAGGAAGGGGAGAGGGGAGGGAGCGAACCATACGAACGTTTCCGAGCGTTGCGGAACGTATGAAAATACATATCTCGGTGTGCGCCGCGCAATTCCATTAACAAGTCTGGATCGTGTCTTTCTTGGAAACGTGGAACCGGACGGAAGAAGAGAACCACCGCCGTGTGCGTCTGTCATGTTCGTCCGTATCGTGCGATCGCGATCGAGACCTTAAGCGGCGGTGAAGTAATCGCGGCAGCGGCAGCAGCAGCAGCAGCAGCACCACCACCACCAGTAGCACCAACGCGTGTATAATTCATGACGCGTAACATTTCGCTCGCGAAAACGCGACGTTGTCGTCGATCTCAGATGTAATTGTTTACAAACGGAGTTAGCTGTCCCCCGATGGAGAGGAAGGAGTCTGAATTTTTAAGTCCTCGAAGAGAGCTCGCGGAGCTCTTTAAATTCGGAGCGAGCGCGGCTGCGCGCGGAGTGAAATCCCACACACACGTCTCTCGCGAGGAAAAAAAAATAGGGAAGAGAAGAAAAAAAGGAGAAAGAAAAGAAACAGAGGTGGAGTTAGCGTCACTTACGGGGAACGAGCAGCGGTCCAGATCGATCTCTCGTCCCAATTTGGATGCTGCGTCCACGATGACAGGCGAGTCCATTTTCTGGACCCGTTCGAGGGCACGCGCGTCCGTTTTTGGATACCTGACACCGCACTCTCTCTCGCTTGCACCCGCGAGAGCGGAGATCGAGCCTCTAGATCTTTTTTTTTCCTTCCTCCTCCTCCTCTCTGTTCTCTCCTCTCTTCCCTTCCCAATTCCTTCTCCGGAATATTATCGTACACCAAATCTTTTTTTAACGACTATGTCTGTCTCTCTCTCTCTCTTTCTCTCGCGAAAGCGCGACTTGAAGACGTCGAGAAAAGGCTGCTGCCGCGAGATTTAATTTTCTCGAAATCTCCACGATACCGCCTCGCGTTCTCTCTCTCTCTCTCTCTCTCTCTCTCTCTCTCTCGCTCGTTCACTCTCACACGCTCTCAATATACATATATTATGTTATATATATATGTATATATCGTTTTCTCTCTCTCACTCGTTCGCTTGCAATAGCTGACACTCACACGTCGTGCTTCTCTCTTTCTCTCTCTCTCGGCTTTTTCCTCTCGTCTCCTCCTCTGCCACCGCCGCGATTACATAAGCGACACGGCCACGCTGTAATACACACTCGGGTTACGTTCTCTCTTTCTCACTCGTCTCGACTGTACT